TTCCATTTTATTACTTGGCCTCCTATTACGGCCTTTGCTTTTTGCCAGCATTGTGTTGTCTATGTAATCTAAATTGTCATCTGTGAGATTATCACAGGTTCCTAAACTATTCTTATGTTGATCATTTGGAAACCACCACTGTGAGGGGTGAATCTAGATCTAGAACCACATTAATGTTGAGTATTTTTGCCTGTGTTATCTTAAAGGACCACTATAGGCACCCAGACCACTTCAGCTTAATGAAGTGGTCTGGGTGCCAGGTCCATCTAGGGTTAACCCTGCCTGCTGTAAACATAGTTTCAGAGAAACTGCTATGTTTATGTTAGGGTTAATCCAGCCTCTCACTGACAGCCGCTAGAGGTGCTTCCGCGCCTCTCACTGTGATTTTCAGTGAGAAAACGCTGACGTCCATTGGAAAGCATTGCCACAGATGTGCATTCAGCAAATGACGTCGGAAGAGGGGAGGAGAGTCCCCAGCACCGAGGGAGGCGCTGTAGAAAGGTAAGTGTTTAATCCCTTCCTTCCACTAGAGCCCGGCGGGAAGGGGACCCTGATGGTGGGGGGGACTTAGAGACCCTATAGTGCCAGGAAAACGAATTTGTTTTCCAGGCACTATAGTGGCCCTTTAAGTACCCACAAATAAGTATAAATAAACTCTGGCTGAGGTGTTATGGGCTCTAGGTAGGTGTCTGTGTGTCTTGGGTGTTGTTTGTATACGTATGTGATTCCTTATTTTAATGTTTTGTATTCTCCATATGTTTGTGAGGTAGAGGCTTCTTGAAAATGAAGTACCTGATCCTCCTGAGAGTGGGATGACTGAGCAGAGCCAAACCGGTCCAGCTGACCATCCAACACTGCGTTAAAGTCCCTTCCTATAATTGTTTTGGAATCTGCAAAATGAATCAATAGATTAAGTAATTTCATTAAAAAGAAGCATTTGAACTACCGCAGGGGCGGGCTGGAATGGGGGGCAGGGAGGCAATTGCCCCCCAGGCAGGGCCGGTGCAAGGATTTTTGCCGCCCTAGGCAAAAAAAAAAAAATTGCCCCCCCCCCAATATGTCATCACAATGCCCCGTCCATATGCTCTGCCATATGGGCCGCCAGTCTTCACAAAGTGTCTTTTATCTGAAAAAAGACAGTGTGTTTACATTAAAAAGCCTACAGGCACAGGCTATAGACACTAGAACCACTACATTATGCTGTAGTGCTTCTGGTGACTATAGTATCCATTTAATGTGAGGTAAATTAGAGATTAGTGCCACTAATAATATATTGGATTGCCTACTTACCACCAGATGAGCACAAGAGGCTGATGTTGGGCTCAGTCTGGCTCCACAGGTCTGGTGTAGAAGAGGCTCTCAGGAGACTGTTTTTAACAGTGCTCACAACAATTAACGAACAGTAAGCAGCTCCATTTTTTAGGGCCCCTTATACAGCTCAAGGTCTGGGCCCCCAGGGCTTGACCGTGAGTATGCCTACAATGCCCACCCATAAATCCAGCTACATGGCCCACCCATGAGTTCTCTCACAGAAAGTGGAGTGTATGTGTGTAGGGGATGTTTTATATGTTATTGTAGAGGATGCAATGTGTGTGTGTTCTTATAGAATGTAGTGTATAGGGATACCAATTTCTGTAAGGGATGTAGTATGTTTATAGGGGATGCAGTATGTGTTTGCGTGTAAGGAATGCATTGTATGTTTCTGGGTGTGTGTGTGTGTGTAAGGGGTGCAAGGTGTGTTTCTGTGTATTTAATTGAATGCAGTGTGTGTCTGTAAGGAGTGCATTGATTGTGTAAGAGATGCATTTTGTTTCTGTGTGTAAGAGAATGAGTGTTTGTGTGAACGTAAGGGATGCATTGTGTGTTTCGGGTGTGTCTGTGTGTGAGTAGGAATGCATTGTATGTTTCTGTGTGTGGGGGGGATGCATTGTGTATGTGTGTAGTGTAAAAGAGAGGGTTTGTAGGGTAGGATAGAGACAGAGGGGAGCAGCTCTTTATTTTCTTTTATTTTTTTCATAGTGCTCTCCCCTCCTGTCAATTGTTGATTTCCCCTTCCCTCCTGTCCCTTGGCCCCCCCCCTTGGTGGCCCTCCCTCTCCCAAACCCTTTAGTAGACATTCCCTTCCTCCCCCCACCCCTTTAGTGGTAATCTCCCCCCCCCAGTGGTCATTATCCTCTTTCTCCCTCCCCCCTTAGTGGTCCTCCCTCTCCCAAACCCCTTAGTGGACCTCCCCCCTCAGTGGTTCTTACTCCCCCTCCTCCCCCAGTGGTCCTTACTCCCCCATTCCTCCCCAGTGGTCCTTACTCCCCATTCCTCCCCCAGTGGTCCTTACTGCCCCCATTCCCTCCCCTGGTCCTTACTCCCCTCCCCGTGGTCCTTACTCACCCTCTTCTGGTGGTCCTTACCCCCTCCTGCCTTCTGTTTCCTGTTCCTGGCCGCCAGCGGACTGAAGGGAAGTGCTTACTCAGGGCGGCAAATTTTTATTTTGCCGAGTGCGGCAAAAATCCTTGCACCTGCTCTGATCCTGGGCAGGTGCACCAGTCTACTGGTGACCCATAGGAGGGGAGTGCACTGATTGCACAGCACTCTCCTCCTGCCCAGACCCGTCTTTACCGCAGTGCAAGTGCCCTCTGCCCCTAATTTACAGTGGCTCACACTCACAGCAATCAGTGCCTGGAGCCCTATGCAGAGACGGGAACAAAGAGGTTCTGCGGCAGCTGGCCGTCCTGCAAGCATTACATTAACCAGCTGTTCCCCATGCAGCCACAGGTGGCGCTGTGCTGGGAGAATGTGATTACTCTTCACTTCCTCCCAGCCTACAGAGCAGCGCATGGGAGAGAGAGAGGAGGAGGCATGATTTAATCTTACAACAAATCCAGTAAGCAAATCTTTATAAATTTGGGGGGATCAGCTCTGTTTCCACAGTTTATTGGTGTTTACTCTGATGTCTGTATTAATATTGAGGGATTTCTAAGTAGTAACATCAGTGTGTGTCAGCAGGGCCAGCCGTTGGGGTGTGCATGCTGTGCGGTCACGCAGGGTGCCATGACAACAGAGGCGCCCGGCGGCCAACACAGCTCACAAGTTGGGGACACCAGCCTATTCAGTTTAAACGATTTGCTGGTGGTCCACTGGTGCGCACCAGCAGTAGGTGCAGTCAGATTATAGCCTCTCCCTCATGGTTCCGGCGCTCAGTTAGTGAGTCAGAGCACAGGCTCAGAGATTCTCAGCCTGCGCTCTGACAACATTGAAAGTCAGAGCCGTGAAGGAGCGGGTATGGCAAAGAGCTACTGATTAGCATAACATCAATATCCGTTATAAAACCAGGAAAAGGTGGGCATGGATGGTGAACTGATTTGGTGGTGCAATGGGCCACTTGACTGGTTTTGCCCCCCAGGCCTAAGGTTGCCAGCCCTCCCCTGCTGGTGCGTATATAACGACCAGGGAAGAATGAACATACCTAGGATCATATGTAGGATGAGAAACCTCCCCTCTGGATCTAGAATTTGTTTATGGATGACTTGAATAATCGATTTGTAGTAATATAGCTACTCCCTTTGAGCATGAGCGCTAAAGGGACAAAATGTTTGTCTATACAGCTTGCCTTAAGGGTAGAGGTGGAGATTTTTTCCCAGTGGGTTTCCTGGAGGAAAATCACTTAAGGTGTTTACAGACTTGAGTTTGATGGTGGTATTAAGACCATTTACATTCCAAGTTAATAGTTTAAAGCAACACTATAGGGTCAGGAACACAAACATGTATTCCTGGCCCTATAGAATTAAAACCCCCATCTAGCCCTCCCCCCATGCCTCCCTAAACATAGTAAAATCTCACTATTCAAGCCTGAAGCTGTTGCTCTGCATGATGCTGGCCTCAGAACAGCAAACTATCTGCTTACATCATCAGAAGTGTAGGCCTGATCCAATCACAATGCTATAGGATTGGCAGAGAATGACGAGGAGACAGATGAGGGGCAGAGCCCGCACAATTCAAACACAGCCCTGGCCAATCAGCATCTCCCTCATAGAGATTCATTGTTGTGATGCTTTTTAGGCAGCCATGACCCAGGAAGGCTCTCTAACAGCCTTCTGAGGAGTGGCCAGTGAAGTTATCACTAGGCTGTAATGTAAACACTGCATTTTCTCTGGAAAAAAAACCCCTGAAGGTAATGATTCTATTCACCAGAACAAATTCAATAAGCTGTAGTTGTTCTGGTGACTATAGTGTCCCTTTAACTCCACCATCAATACCAGTCTCATCTCATGATCTTAAAAGGTGAGACATTAACCTGGGTCAATAGGGTGGATTGTTAGATGTTTTTTTTTAAAATACAACTTTGCTTACCCCCTATATCCCAGCCAATGGGGAAAGCATAGAGACAATAATGAGCCATTTGGCCCCCGTCTGGCGATAAAGTGAGCAATAGTAGAGAGCATAAGAACAAATAACATTAAAGGAACATTATAGGATCATGAACACAAACATGTGTTCCAGAGCTTATAGCATTAAAACCATAATCTAGCCCCCCTTGCCACCTAAATATAGTAAAATCTTACCTTTAGTCCAGTCTGCTGGTGCTAGCTTTCCCCCCTAATCTGCTGCCTTGGCTAACCTCATTAGAACTGATGATCTCAGCCAAACACATTTTTTCCCCTAAGAAAGCATTGGATTGGCTGAGATTGTCCATTTTGATTATCTCAGCCAAGGAGGCTGGCCGGGTGCGGAGTAAAAAATCACCTGAATGGCAGTGCGGCTACTGGAGGTGTCCTTAGGCTGTAATGTAAACACTGCCTTTTCTCTGAAAAGACGGTGTTTACTGGAAAAAGCCTGCAGGGACTGACTATATTCACCAGAACAACTATATCAAACTGTAGTTCTGGTGATAATATGATGATAGATAAATGCAACTGTTGTAAGACACACAAAATATATGGATTTTCAAAATACTAGATTCTGTTTAGAGTGAGGTGTCCGTATATATCCTCCAGCACATATAACACCAACAATTCAGTCTCTTTATTCATATATCACAGAATACCAGTCATTACATTTAGACATCAATTATCCTTATCACCGAAAATCAGCCCTATGTCAGACTCACCTTACATACAATATGAATTTCTATCTTTAATCACAGCTACAACACAATGTAATTTACATATTATTGACCTCTTACACAGCACCTGTCAAGTACACACACGAACGCATCAGCAATCAACATGGTAAGCTATATTACCCTCATTCAATTTCCTCAAACTACCCTTGAATCATATCCCTTCTATAATACATGAGTAAGTTCCAAGGAACTAAATACTTGTCCATCAAGTATTTGTATGTATTTGGTTTGACTGATAGAGGCACAGTTCACAATGGAAACATCTCACCATGACACACGACACTTCCATACCACCCACAACCAGAATAACATTAAGTATCCATCAGGAACATTCATGACATATAAACAATCATATTAATATGATAGACTGTAAGCTCGTTTAAGCAGGGTCCTCTTCAACCTATTGTTCCTGTAAGTTTTCTTGTAATTGTCCTATTTATAGTTACATCCCCCCTCTCATAATATTGTAAAGCACTACGGAATCTGTTGGCGCTATATAAATGGCAGTAATAATAATAATTCATGACCATATCATATCATTAGTAGCTCCCAGGCATCAGTCAATCATATGGCACCCATTGATAAGTTTCATTGAATGCATGTTATACACTACCAAGTGGTCAATTTTCATAGCTCCTGTCTTATATATACACAACAAATATCAGCCACTTGTACAAATCGATTTCATAGAAAACCTTTCTTAAAGACACCCCCTAAACAAAAACCAAACACACTTCACGACCAAAAGGCTGTATGAAAAATTACATGGAGGCAGACTCACAATGATTTAACTCTCATACCCCAGTTACGATACCAATCAGTGTGGGTGCTGTGCACTTACAACCAATTCACATCTGCTAGGCAGTAACTTAACAAAATGTTAGACCTAAGGTCGAGGATCCTACTAAACAGATCTGTGTTAATTCTCTTCCATTGCTTTGAACACTTTGTCCACTAGCTGCTTTCATTGTGTCTAATTCAGAGCACCACTATAGCCCCCAAAACACACGTTGGCCACCATTGATCTAAATAGTATTTCATCATTTGATTAATCTACCCTTGCAGTTCTAGAAACTACAATAGCAGCATTTTGTTTTTTTTTGTTTTTTATGTCAACATCACTACCACTTTAAAACTGTAGTTGTTTACAAGAACAAAGCACATTTGATGAAAAATGACAAAGCAGTGTCAATGCTATTTCTGCATCATTGGAAAAAGCACACAGTCAAAGTGTCTCTAGATTTATTAAATATATTCAGTCAGATGCAATTATATTAAATATGAAAGACTCAGCGCCTGGCCAATGCCAACACAAAGAAGATTCACACAACGGTTTAATTAGCACTGCAGAACATTGGCTAGAGATTTCATCCAACATCTGCACAATTATTTCTGTTTAAAAGTACAATATATATATACAGCTATAAATTAATTCTAAATAGATTTTCGTTTTCTTTCTCACGTTTCGGATTTTCTTTGTTCTAAAAGTCTTCTGATTTTAGTACAGTTTAAAGAAATATTCGGCCATTGTCTGAGGGGATCCATGGTCGTGACGCACAGCTTTTTTAAAAACATGTATAATTTTCATCCGGCCGCAGAACTGCAATGGTTGTTGCATCTTATATAGAAGGGGCTCCATGGGGGGGGAGGGGGTCAGTCTATGGGCAGCGGATGGAATTTTGGGGAAAAGGTCGAGCAGCTTTTAAATCCCGTCCTAATATCTAACTAGGCCAAATAATGGCAGAATAGTTGTGCATTGATATTTCCTAAGTTTGAATCCATTCTCTGTTAGAGGGGATTGAAATACATTGGAGAGCAATGAGCTGAAAGTCCCTCTGGCAGTGAAGGAGTTATGATGTATTCTTCTCGTGCGTTCTCTTTATTCAGTGTGTATTGCCGAAAGAGTCCAGCTACTTGGAACATCTGCAGGATAAGAGACAAGGTACAGTTTAGGACATTTATTTTTGCTAGTGTTGTCAGAGTTCAAAGTTAATTTCAAATTTAAGAACAAAATAGCTGAACGGAAAGAAAATTCCAAGTCAGCTAAGATCCCAGTTCATCTACTTTGACCTTAAATTGAAACTCACTTTGAATTAAAAAAAATGTATTAAATAAAGCTATAAAAAGGTATTCGGTGATTGTGGTACAGACTGTTTTTTTGGGGGGGGAATAACCCTTTAAAGTAAACAAACCTGTTTTTCGTTATTGTAATCCTTGCTCTGTTGGTCCGCACTCAAAACTTTAAAATAGTGCTGGCTTCACATACCAAATTTACCCAGAAAGGGTCTAATGGAGAGGGTGTTACACCTCTGGCAGCAGGAGCATACACTCTGCACATACAAACATCGGGCACCATGACCAGTTCAGTGAAGTGGTCATGGTGCTTGGAGTAACTTTTTAAATATATAGAGGCACAGGAGACTCCCGTTCTCATGGATCTGACGTTCCTAAAGAGGAAGAGACCATCAAGCGAAAAATGCTCTCTCTCTTTAATCCAACGTTTGTACGATTGTGCAGGATTCCCTTTTAACTTCAATAAAAACCAAGATGGGTTGTTGGACGTTATAAATTTCTATGATTAGCTCTAAGACACAATGTACGGACTAAACCTACGGGCTACATCGGTTATGCTATTCACGACTGTGTATATACTACCCATAGGTATATTACTATTGTTAATGTGCGTCTTTTTATAGTATACTTATGTTATGGATATGTTGTATGTTTTCATTCTGTCTTGACATAAATAAAGAATTTAAAAAAAAAAAAGAAAGGGGGAGGGCTGTGTGTTTTGTTGAACATGTCCCAATGTTTTTTTTTCTAATCAGAGACATCTTATAATTTGAGAAATAAATCAAGTACTTGTGGTAAATTAATGACTCTTGAATATGAAGAATGATAATGATTAAAGGACCACCATAGTGCCCCCACCCCCAGGGTCCCCCTCCCGCCGGGCTCTAGGGTGAGGAAGGGGTTAAACTTACCTCTTTCTCCAGCGCCAGGCGGGGAGCTCTCCTCCTCGGCAAGAGCCGTGCGCGCATTCAGCCAGTCTCCTAGGAAAGCATATAATGCTTTCCTATGGACGCTGGCGTCTTCTCACTGAAAATCACAGTGAGAAGCACGCAAGCGCCTCTAGCGGCTGTCAACGAGACAGACACTGGAGGCTGGATTAACCCTATTATAAACATAGCAGTTTCTCTGCTATGTTTATAGAAAAAAGGGTTAACCCTAGCTGGACCTGGCACCCAGACCACTTCATTAAGCTGAAGTGGTCTGGGTGCCTAGAGTGGTCCTTTAAAGCCTAAGATGCATTTATGCACGAATCCCATTGACTTGTCAACCAAAGATCTATTTATTCTCTACCTGTGCTTACTCCATGTTCTATGCAAGAACTAGCCATGCATAGAGGCTTGGACTTCATTTAGTCGGTTACAGCTAGGAGTACCCATCCTCTGAGCCTTCTGGTACAGGTCGGAGTCCCCAAAGTAACGTGCCCGGTATAGCAATCCTTCCTCTGTAGAGAAAAAGTGAAAAACAAGGCAGATGATACATTTCATTAGATTGTAATTCGGTTTAGCAGACACTCTGCACTTACAAATATAATTGTACACAAGTCACACAGGGGAGAGAAAATTATTAGTAGCATAACCTACTTGTCCCGACAAAATAATTTCATATTAGAAAGTTTGTGGATGAAAATGTTTTCACTCTGTTGTAGTCCCAACTGGTTATTTTTGCCTCAGTTTCAGATTTAATTTAATCTATAAAAATCTGATATTTAAGGTTTCATCCTCCCCATAGCATGTGTGCTGGCAGTTTGTAAAAAAAAACAAAAAAAAACATCTGCCCTCAATGTCAGGTCAAATGACCACAACTGCCCTACTTGCCATGACCCTTACCAACCTCTGCCTTCCTACCCATGTCTTATGCCAACCTGTCTTCCCTGTAATTTTCTAAAAGATCTTCCACCAATTAAACCCCTCTTCCTTCTCATGCCCTTTTATGTTCCAATTACACTTCCATCCTCCCTTCCCATACACAGCTATGATCTCTACCACCTTTTGCGCTCCCAGATATGCCCCTTACATTGGCATTCACACAGTCAACGGACCTCACGTGAAACGATCATATGTCCATGGACATGCAGGTAATAGCTACATTCCAATTGTCATTTGCCAAGAGGCAGGATAAAGTTGCAGGAAGGTGTAGACATACAGAGGCTGCTTTCTAAATCAGCAATCCACCCTTTCCACTTTGCCAATAGCTCATCAAAGGTTAGCTGTGGGTGGCTGAAATAATGCACAGGTGGCAGTAGGGAGGGGAGAAATTACCTACTATCTCATCTCATCACCATTTCTCCTGCCAGCTATAGCAGCCTCCTGCAAATACTCCATAGCCGGTGCTATGGGTGGAGAGCAGGACATAACGCAGGAGGAGTTTTTGTGGGGGTGGGAGAGTTTTTTGTTTTTTTTTCAAAGTATATTGTGCCTTGTATTTTAAATGTTAGAGTTGCACAGCATTCCATCATTTACTAACTGGCGTAAGTTTGCTGTGATTTATCAAAGGGTTTCAGACGGTGCCAGAGCGCTCCATAGGAGACGATGATGATAGTTGGTATTTATTATGTAGCATTGCAGTAGCAATGACTCAAAATGTAAAAAATAAAGTGCTTCGACTGGCTTCTATGCCTAGTGAGACCAGGAGTAAGGTGTCAATAGGAGAGCTATGCCAGTACAGTAGTACTGAATGCACAGTCAGAACACAGTCATTGATTTACTTGGAAATCAACAAACATCTTCATAATGCACGAAAGGAAGACAAAAAAAATAGGAAATTTGGCAGAAGGCAGCCACAGCTTGGAGTGTCTTCAAATGGATTACTTGTTTAGAAAATAAGCATTGCATCAGCATTGCACATGGCGAATTCTCCTTTACAGGTGGCTGTTTATGCAATGTTATAACACACTAGTTCTCAGAATATACACACGCACTTTATAAGCGACCCCAATCCTTTCCAATTTTTAAGCACAAGGACACAATCTATTGTGCAGGAGCGATCTGCACCAGATAGACACTTACTCTGCTGCTTCTCCTTCCAGCAGTTATTCCTAAGATTGGCTATGAAGTCCTCTTCTACGCTCCTCTCTACGTTCCTCAGGTTTGTCCCAGTGTACTCCTCTTCAAAGGTATCCGATACAAAGTAAGCAACCCTCAAATGTTCCGTTACCCTCTTGTTTACATGACCCACAGACCTGTTGGGAAGAAGAATCAATAAAAAGACTTCAGAAGAATGTAGCATACTCCAAATCCTGGTCATCCTTTGCACAGATAGTACGACATGCCCAACATTTGCTAGTTTAATAAATTCTAACTATCTATTTATCATTCAATCTCATAAAGAAGTGCTTTGTGTTAAAGGGACACTCTAGGAACTATAACCACTTAATCTAATCAAAGTGGTTATTGTTCCTGGAGTCCCCTGACACGGTTTAGTGTTAAACCATTTTGAAGCAGTTTAAGAATAGGAAACACTGTAGGCACTGTAACTGCTTCATCTCATTGAAAAAGTTATAGTGTCTGGAGTCCCCTGGCGCTGTCCCATTCAGTGTTAATCCATTTTTAATGGTATAATAATTAACAAGAATCCCCAGTAGTTCAGACCCTCTGTGCTACTTTGGCTAATATGGAAAATATTAAATAGTTAAACATTGAAAAAGGCACAGTACCAGGGTACTCCAGGCACTATTAATAATTTGATACCTGTATCTTCCGTGTGTAAGCAGGATTTAACCCTGCTGTCATCAGAACAACAGGATAGAAAGCAAAGTTGACTTAGAGAATTTTTTTCAGTTTGGCTTTTTTGACCTTAATTGTGAAATTCAGTTGGACTTCTCATTAGTGAATAAACCTGTAGACTTAACATGATTTTCATTTTGTCTATTAATTCATCTTTAAAATGAACCTCAACAGAGCAAGATGTACAATAGATTTTGAAAACCTCTCACACATTTGCCTAAATTACAATCTGACATCAGTAACCAGTCGGCAATCAAATTCCACAAACCTTTTTTTCCCTGTTCAGAAAACATTATGGAGTTAAATGAACAATGATTTCATAATTAATCATGCAATATCGGCATGTGAAGGTAGACATTACAAGGTAAAAAAAAAAAAAAAGAAAGATATGGCACCATCAAGGAATTTCCACATATACTACAAGTTGATTGGTAAAGAAACACTCCCAAATACAAAGCAAAACAAAATATAATACATTTCTCTGTTATAACATTTGGAGTATTCCTTTAAAAATCTCCCAACCCAAGCAGGATCCTCCCATTCAAAAGGAGTGAATAAGCACTTTTATGATTTCAATCAGGACATGCCGTTAACCCTTAAACCAGTTTGTCAAGCTTCTGTTGTAGCAGCTGGGGGTTAAAATAAACAAAGATAGATATACTTACCTGACACAGGTACCGCCATCTTTATTTCAAAACAAATGTTCAGCTTCTGACGGTTCATCCAACAGTAGCTGTGTCACAGTTTTATTTTGGCTCATGAACAAAGGTCTATGGAGGACCCCTTATGACTGATCCCCATACACCAAATTTCACAACGTGTTTTTCACTGTGTAACTTCACATTGCACAACAAGGTATGACATCATATGACATTTCTGAAGGAAGGAGAGTTCTAAACTTATGTGGCCTCCATTACTTTGCAGTCAATTCGACAATATTGTTTCTTCCAGTAAGAACCCATCCAACTGAAAGCACTGTAAGAGCAAGTTGAATAATATGAAAAGAGAACACTAAGAACCGTTCGGTAACTATAAACGGCCAGCAGTATTCTCTTAAACTAGATAAAGTATACATTCATGAGTCAATAGTAAATAAATGTGTCAACCAAGAATGACATGCATGGGAAGCTACATAGGAAAAATTCACTGTCACATACTGCTATCCTCAAAGGTTTGCCAAAGCGGTCATGGAAGATCCAGATCGCTACTGGAAAGATATATTATCAGATGCCACAAAGTTCCACTGTTGCCTTATGACTGAGAAATGTTAATGAGCAAAAATAAAACTCAAGGCGCCTTGCCATTATTGAGAAACTCTGTGAGTAAATTCTATGGGAGGTTTATACTTACGGTCGATGGCTGAGACTGTAAGGCGGGTTGGACACCATCATCTGACTGAGGGCAGATACTATGATGAGGATTAGAATAGGCATCAGCTGAACAAACATCCCAAAGCTGCCCTGAAACATCATTAAAATGACAATATTAACATGTAACCAAGATATTATTTGTCTGCTACTAGTAAATATGATGTGTCACAAATAACTATATATTTTCACCCCGGTACAATAAAAGTTGCAACTTCCGCTATAAGTATTTATCTTTGTATAATGAACCATCATGTTAGCCAAAAAATGAGGAGTAAAAGTGACAAATACCATTATTAGCTAAAGTGGAGAGTCAATTCTGCTTCACCTGTTAAATATTGTATCTGCTCTTGTTCCAACTGCCCTGTTCAAACCAAACGGTTGCATTAAGCTACCCAATTAGTTCTCCTGGACAGCCCACTGCTTTTGACTGTGTAAAGGATTTCAACAGTCAACTTGAACTGCAGTCAACAAACTAAAGTTACAAGTGTTCCTTTAAGTTCTGAACCAAAACAAAACCTAGAATTTATGTTTGTTACACTGTAATTTAAGGGTTTCTCTTTAAGTTCCCCAATACATAATATATAGTGTTTGTTAAAGGAGAGAAAGGTCTTTCATTTAATATCCATCATGAATACCCAACAACATTTAGTTGTTAACAGGGGGGCGGGGGGGAGATTTGGTGTTAGTGTACCAATACAGAGTAAAGATGAGGTGGGGAATTAACAAGATATACCTAAACATATAGACAGAGAATATGTGTTTAGGTATATCTTGTTTTTTCGCCTATATTGAGGATTGAAAGGAATCCTTTGTCATACCTAACCAAAGAGTAATTATCTTTTTGTATTATATACCAACTGCACCTGGGTGATCTATACTTACCTTTTTGAGGTGGGGAATTAGAATAATTTAGGGACAGGGTACATTCTGCATCAAGTGAATGGAGACCGTTCAGCCGCCTGTTAATAGTCAAATCAGCTAAATTCTAATTAGATTTGACAAATTTTAACAGACCACCAAACTGTAGCTGGACAAAAGCACAAGTTGGTTGAAATAATCAAATTAGCCTTTTGTGAATAGCCAAATAGCACCATGACCCAATTTTCCTCTGTCAATGTCAGGGCACCTCGCCACAGTGGGAGTGGAGTCGGGGAGGACAGGCTAGGGGTGCACATTAGCACAGCTGGCTAATGATGCCCCAATGACACAGCTCTGACAGAAAAGGAGTTAAGTCTGCAGCCAGACTCCAAGCATCACAACCACTTGAAATCACTGAAGACAAAAATAAGCCATCATGTATGCTGCAGCTTTATGCTCATGGTGAATGTGGCCAGAAATATTTATGTTGCAGCATTAAACGGAGAGAAAGGCTTCTAAGGATAGAACAAAGGATTTGGATGAAAGGGAAGAAGCTCTGCCTTATTATGCTAGCAATCTGTTCTTAGTCCCTTTCCCGAACCCTGTGTATTGGGACAAGCGTATTTTTTCCCCCCAAATCCCATTTATCTGAAAGTAACATCTGAGGAGAACAGAAGCAATAGGTTTGTTTGTTTTTCGAGAACTAAAACGTTCAAGTGAGTTGTGAGCTAAAAATATCAGATGCAGGTAATTAAGGAAAAAATGTGTAATTGGAGTAACAAAGAGGTTCAAGGATCTAAGACGCTGTGAAGCAGCTACAATCATGTGATGCATATTCAATCCAGTGTTTGTAACAGAGAAAAATATCCACCAGTGCTCGGCCGTCTTTGTAAAGCATGATAGTGAGGTATGATGAATGTTAGAAAAGATTTTAAGTTGGATTTACTAACCTCTGCTTGGTGTTCCCGTCTGTCTTGTCTCTGTTGGTAAGTGTAACGCATTCTTCCATTACTGTATACATGAACATTACCTTTAAGTAACAAGAGGCAGAATTAGTAACGCTGGACTTTATTCACAATATCTGGACAGAACTTTCAGACCCAAGTTACAAGTTAGTTCAAATTTAAAAGTTTGGTTGCAAAGAGCTGTTCAAGCTTAGAAATCTGTTGGAAGATATACACATGGGTTTTTAGAGTTCAATCACGTTGTTTATGCTGCCCTAGTCACACCTCAACTGACAGTGATTGACACAATCTGCATGGAAAAAAAATGCTTTTAAATGGATTTAAAAGTTCAATTTGCAAAGCACAAGATAAAAACTTCTAATCACACAGGAGACTCCTGCAAGGTCTAGCTAGCTATTAATAGTGCACGAAATAAGAAATTAAAATTACCAGTGCAATAAAGGAAATGCAAACATTAGATCTCACCATACAGGAAGTGTTTAGGAAGGCTGTGTATGTCACATGCAGGGAGGTGTGACAAGTGTTGCATAAACAAAGTGGTTTAAGTCCTAAATGGCAGAGAATGTAACAGTAGGACTGCAGGGGTATGATCTATACACCAAACCTGCTTCATTAACCCCTTCACGACATTTTTGCCTTGCCGACCGATGACTGTCCTGAACCGTCCTAACGGTCTGAGTTACTTACCTGATCGCCGTCGTTCCCCCGGCGGCGATCAGCGTTGCTCCGGTTGTGGGGAGACTGCCTGCAGCCCAGACAGTCTCCCCACACTGGATTAGGACCCCTGTGGCCATGTGATCGCTTAACACAGCGATCACATGGTCACAATATGTGTCCATGTGTCTGCCTGCAGGGGGACTGTCTGTGCTGACAGGCAGCCTCCCTGCAACTATAGAATCAAAAAATAAAATAAAGTTAGTGTTAATAAAAAAAAAATAATAATTATATATGTGTATTTATGATATATAGACATATTATATCTATATAATATGTCTATATATGATATATATAATGCCATACTAAGTATATTTTTATATTAATATGTACTTATATTAATATAAAAATACACTTATAATTAAATTACACACATATATAATATATAATAACTATATATATATATTGTATATATATATTATAAAATATATATAATAAGTAATTTAAATTAAATAATTTTTTTTAAATAATAATAAAAAATTAAAAAAAAATTATATCTATATAAAATTTTATTCTAACTGTATTTTAAAATTAATATATATATTTATATCAAAATACACTTAGAATGAATTTGTGTATATATAAATAAATAAAAATAATACGAAATATACATACGTCCATATACAAAATTACATAAATAATTATATAAATATACACGTAGACTTCAAATATATAAATATGCATATATATTTAAATTCTACGTGCGTATTTATGTAATATTTTACATAATTAAGTAATTTTATTGATTGCAATTTGAGGGACCTGCCTGCCAACCCAGGCCGAAAGTCCAGAGAATTTAATTTGCTAGCACTGTATTTTACCCTGTAACGTTCTACGACACCCTAAAACCTGTACATGGGGGGTACTGTTTTACTCGGGAGACTTCGCTGAACACAAATATTAGTGATTCAAAACAGTAAAACATATCACAGCGATGATATTGTCAGTGAAAGTGACTTTTTTGCATTTTTCACACACAAACAGCACTTTTACTGATGATATAATTGTTGTGATACGTTTTCCAGTTTTTAAACACTAATATTTGTGTTCAGCGATGTCTCCCGAGTAAAACAGTACCCCCCATGTACAGGTTTTATAGCATTTTTGAAAGTTACAAGGTCAAATATATGGGTCAAATATTTTTACATTGAAAATGGCCAGGTTGGTTACGTTGCCTTTGAGAGTGTATGGTAGCCCAGGAATGAGAATTACCCCCATGATGGCATACCATTTGCAAAAGAAGACAACCCAAGGTATTGCAAATGGGGTATGTCCAGTCTTTTTTAGTAACCACTTGGTCACAAACACTGGCCAAAATTAGCGTTCAATTTAGTTTTTTTACTTTTTTCACACACAAATATGAATGCTTACTTTGGCCAGTGTTTTCGACTAAGTGGCTACTAAAAAAGACTGGACATACCCCATATTGAATACCCTGGGTTGTCTACTTTAAAAAAAAATATGTACATGTGGGGTGTTATTCAGAGATTTATGACAGATAATAGTGTTACAATGTCACTATTGATAAATTTTAAAAATGTATGTTTTGAAACCACAATATCCTACTTGTACCTATAGCCCTATAACATGCAAAAAAAAGCAAAAAAGCATGTAAATACTGGGTATTTTTAAACTCAAGACAAAATTTTGAATCTATTTAGCAGTTTTTTTCATTCGCTTTTGTAGATGAGTAAAAGATTTTTCAAGTAAAAGTAAAAAAATATGTATTTTTTTTTCAATTTTTCATCATATTTTTTTATTTTTTGTAAATTAAAATACATGAGATTATATAAATAATGGTATGTAAAGAAAGCCCCTTTTGTCCTGAAAAAAACAATATATAATTTGTATGGGAACAGTAAATGAGAAAGCGGAAAATTACAGCCAAACACAAACACCACAAAAGTGTAAAAATATGCCTGGTCGCAAATGTACAACATCGCAAAAACAGTCCAGTCCTTAAGGGGTTAATATAATGAAGTTTGTTTGGTGACTATAGTGTTTCTTTAATGTTAGAAAGCTGATTAGCAAGACAAGCTATTTGTGACAAATCCAAGTAGCGTTAAGGGTTACTCCAAGCACTAACCATTTAAATGATTTCAGTAATTTGAAGTGGTCATGGGGCCTGGAGGTTGAATGTGATGTGCTTTGCTATGAAATACTGCACATACAGAGTTCAACCCTTGTGCTGCCAGAGGTTTAACCACCTCCTGCAGCTTCATTAGCGTTAATTATGTGTATATTGGACTTCTGACCTCAGCATACTGGCAACAGGAGTCCAATGGTGGCACTGCTCCCTCATCCCTACCCACACATACACTACTGCCCCTATCCCCGAATACAGGCCCTATCCCTTACTATAGCTCCTACCCCGGCATGCCCCAGATAAGATGTCAAACTGTACTTAAACGGTTTGACTACTTACTCTTGGAGAGTGCCATGGCACTCATGGCACCATAACCACTATAAAGAGCTGAAGTAGTTATTGTGCCTTTACAAATACTCTATCAGTGCCCCTCCCGAGATTAGGTTCTGGATCCACCTCAGTTGCCACCTTTCTCTCAGAACTTGCGCAAGATTAATAAAAACATAGTACAGATACTTACTAGAGGGAAATCCACCACCAAAGAACATGTTGAACAGGTCTTCTGGAGAGATGTCAGCCTCAAATCCTCGGTGGAAGTCAGAGTGCCCATGGCGTGAGGTGCTAACTTTTTCTTCTCCAAATTGGTCATACTGCTTCCTTTTCTCTGCGTTGCTTAACACTGCGTATGCATTCCCGATGGCTGTATGGAAATCACAGACTACAGATTAAACAAAGAACCACAACACAACTTCCCAAAAAAATACCCAAATCCCAAACCTGTGCAATATCATCCCACCAGTATGGTTCAGTATGTTTCTTGGGTAAATTAGTAGTAAAGACCAGCATGATACAGTTATTCATTAGGAGTGCCAGGGATGTTCACGAGGTTCTCATTAAAAACAAATTAGCAATTAAAAAATGATTTTGCGACACAAATCAGACTGACCGCCCACCAGTGCCAGCCCATCATGGCATGTGGTAGCTCTGGACTAAAAGTGATGTTATTTTGGGACAAGATCATTCCTCTATGGGATTGTTAAAGTTTACATTTAGCAGGCATGTGTTTGAGGATTACTGCAATTAAAGCATTATGTATTGGCTAATTTGACCATTTGTTAGCAAAATGAAAATACTATCATAAGTAGCTTTTAAGACTATGAAGAACTAATATTCCTTATTCAATAACACACACACAGATAGAAGATTTGTTTGAGCGTGCTAATCCTGTAATATTTGAGTTACTGTAAAATAAGAATAAACAGACTGTTCGAGAAGAAATAGATACATTGGAAATTACACCAATCTTCTTGAGTCTGGGAAATCAGTTGAACCTTAGATCTCAGAGTGTTTTATCAGTTATTGAAGGATTAACTTGGGAAAAGTTAAACAAATAAGGTTATTCTAAGATTAACCCAGGGAGGCTAACCTGGACAAGTTCATCTCTGGATCCAGAAAACATGCTAAAATGCTCTGTTCAAATTGGGAACTGCCCCACTCCTGTTCTGTTTTTATCTGGTTTACAGTTTAATATCCCGACTATTTCAGCTTGGGGCAAAAACTGCTGCAGATAGAGAAACCTGTGTATTTGCCGCACATATTGGTAGCAGTGGGTACTCTGGGGGACACGCTCCCACGTTAAATTCTTTATTTAACTGCAACCAAGTACACTATCACTACAGGCAATATCGCAAATGGTGTGAATGAGCAAGGGATTAGATTTAATCTACATAAACTGCCTTTATTTGCCATTATTTATTTGGTTACAGTAGATTTCCAATCAAAGCAGTGTTACCATATTTAAAAAGAATTTGCAACACTGTCCGTGGTATTGTAACACAGAACAGGCCATCTCTGCATTCACCAGCAGCAGGGTCAACTTTAAGTTACAGGATCAGGGGGCCTGAACCAGTTACTGTATCCGCCCATTCACCAGGGACATCTTGGGACCTCAGCAATTCTCACTCAGCAGCCTGTGTGAGGGGCCCAGATGGGATACTGCAGTGACATTGTAGGAACCAGACTATTAGACATTCAGATATCTCCCAACCCTAAGCAACCTGCCCTTCAAAGAACAAGAATTCCGGTTTTCAGAAGGGTGGAAATACACTGAAATGTCCTTTGTGAATGGGTAGCTCCATCGATGGCCTCCTGCTAAAAAACTCTGGGAAATGGACTAGTGTTTGTCAGAAGGGCCTCTGGGAAAAGCTGCACTTGGTCACATTGACCAGGAGTTTCTGGTCTGATTTGCTAAAAAAAATTTAAACAGTAAAACAAGCACAAAATTAAAAAAGTTACTCCAAGCACCAGTTTGTATGTTTGAAACATTAAAGCCGTTTGCTGCCAAGTGTAACTCCATCTCTAGCAGCATAATTAGCTTGGCAGAACTTGCATCAGTGTGGGATAGCATGTAAGCTTTCATCTCGCTCTTAAAGCTACCAGGTTTTAACCCTTTATTTGCCACTGGGAGGGGTGCGCAGAGGGACAGTTTTGTATTCCTAATACTATACTTTTAAAGTTAAAGGGATGGACATCAAAAAAACTTTAAGTCTATGTAGCAATTTTTACAAAGAAGCTTTAAGACTTTTTTAAATTGTTAGTTCCTAAAATAAATAAAAAATAAACAAAAATAAAAAATACATGAGTGGCTTTCTATTTATATACTTGTTCTATATAAGCATCTTATGATATAGGGATGTATTTTCTGCATAATCAGATCAGCAGATGATGATCCTCATGCTAAATTATTGCACTGGGTAGAATCTGCTCTCCATGAGAGTTTACAAAGGACTGGTGAGACTCTGATCTTCTCCCAGTCTGTGATTAATTGTCAAGCTAAGGATTACCTTATCTCATTCTCAAGTACATCTAGAAATTATGTTGTTCCTTTGTAGGCTGGAAAGGTTACTCAGGCCATTGGCAAACAACTGCGATAAAGAATTGGTTGTCCAAGGAAGGGCCAATACAATAATTCCCAATAGAAAAGAAAGTGTGTAGCAGATTCAGCAAAATATTTTACGATTCATTTGGTATTCAAGTCGTTTTTGAAAATCCTGTAGAATACTGTAATGTATTATAAAGCCCGGAAGGCTTTACAAATTCGTATTATCAAAGTCAGTTTTTAATTCTGTTTACCGCTTCCTAGCAGGAACTATGGCAGAAGACAATTTTGCACAAAATGCCAACTTTTTAATAATTCAGGAAAACCTATCAAGAAACTATCTGCTTTCATATCCCTGACGTCTTTATAAAATATATCATGGGGTTATATAGCAATTCAGCAGCAAAGAAAGCAAATTGTGCATCCTTCTCTATCATAACAGACTCCCATCAGAGGTAACAGGCTGTCACCTTTACTGTAATCCTCGAATTAGAACTGCGACACAATAGAGTGCAGTCCACAAGTGTCACATGTTTCCACTATCCACCGATTCCCCCAATCATATAAGCATATTTTCCCATGACATAACTTACGTTATTAAAGGGACACTATAGTCACCTGAACAACTTCAGATTAATGAGGTTGTTCAGGTGAGAACTATAGCTCCCTACAGCCTCTCTCATGTAAACACTGTATTGTCTCAGAAAATACAGTGTTTACATTGAAAGGTAGGGACACCTCCAGTTGCAGTCACTCAGAGTGAACCAGAGGGACTTCCGAGTTGATGGAGACATAATATGCCTCCATCCACTCAGATCTACTGCCAGCAGAGCAAAGGGCAGCACTGTGCACAGCATCCTGTGATTCAGTATCTCCTCTCTCTGCATGCAGACACTGAACTTTCCTCATGGAGATTCATTGATTCAATTCATATCTATAAGGAGATGCTGACTCTGCCCCGATCTGCCTCTGTCATGCTGGCTCTGCCCCGATCTGCCTCTTTGTCAGTCTCAGCAAATCCTATGGGGAAGCACTGTGATTGGATCAGGCTACCACATGTCAGCAGACTGCTTGTTTTTCTGAGTCTAACAGCATGCCGATTTACAGCTTCTGAATGAATACAGTAAGATTTTTACTATATTTATGGAGGCATGAGGGGTCCAGAGGGGCTAGATGGTGGTGTTAACACTATAGGGTCAGGAATACATGTTCGTGTTCCTGACCCTATTGTGATCCTTTAACAAATCGAATCAAATCTCTAATTGCACTCTAGAACAGACTATGGACACCACTTATGTCAGAAGATAAAGCTTCTAAAATGCTTCCTATATTACAGCTGAAATAAAATAGCTTCCCAAAACCAGCAAAACAATATGCTGGCAGGATTATTTTATTTCTTTCTTGGGAATCAAAGTTCACAAAAACACACAATTATTTTAAAAATATAATTTGACAAGTGGGGAAACTGAGGACGGACGAATTCATAATTTTTAGATTGTTTGTTCATTTGATCATTGATCTCTTCACCTCTCGTGTTTAAATCAATAACATCAAAACAAACAGGCTCTGTATGCAGAGGGTTCTTTCACCTAGCGTAGACTCTAATACAATTTGTAATAACAGTTACAAATGAAACCAAGTAAATACAATGTAACCCTACGCCAAAATACCTATAAAAGTGAATGTTTCAATCTTAGCCGTTGACAGGAACAATCTTATTCATTTGAATTCGGAGAAAATCAGTCATATTAAAATGTTTAATGGACTTCTCTCAAAAGATTTTACTACAATCTTGCAAACAAAAGTATAACCACAGATATAAAAAAACACTACAAAAGTTCCCTTTATTATATACATCCCCCTGAGTTTATTATTAATCTAATTGTGAGGTATTAGGATGTGGTCCCTGGCTTCTATGGTCAATAAGTTTTTACATTCCAAATCTCTCCTATGGAACGTGGACAGAAAATAGTATTATAGGGTGTAGCCCCATCAGTTTACTCTGATATTCTTTCTAAAAACAAATTTTCATTCCTCAAAATTAGAATAACTCACATTCAACCAAGTGCTATTCATGCATGGCACCAGCCTTCTGTAAAAGATGCCCAATGCCCACTTTTCAACTTTAAAATTATTGGATGGTACTTAACGTCATACACAGCTCAATGCTTTCTGTTGGACAGAGTGTGGGCAGCTGAGAACACCAGATGATGTGGTGATTCATCTATCCAAGTAATTAACTTCTCTTGGAATTGCGGTGCTAGATCCCTAACCCTCCAAAAAGAAAATCTACTTGCGTTGTACAATTTGATGCGCACATACTGACAGCTGCAAGCTCGGCAGTAGCTATAGATTTAATGGGTACAATCCTGCTCTGGTCAATGCAATGTTAAAGTGTAACATAGAAGAGGTAGGCCAAACAGCTTCCACTAAACTTAAAGGAACACCATAGCGGTAAGAACACAAACCTGTAATCCTAACACTAGCATCTCTATCCACTCTTTGCATTGAAGTAAAAAAAAACAAAAAAACATTTTTTACGCCTCTTTTTCCAGGGCCCCCTCAGCTCTTCTTAACTCTCCGTCCCCTGCGACATCATGGAAAAGGCATGGCCTGATCTGCAATGGTCCAATCAAATGCTCATCTCCTCAGAGAAATATTAGGGATCTAATGCGCATGCACGGCATGGGCTGTGCACACATTCAAACCTCCCCTTGGGAAAGCACTGAATCAATGCTTTTTCTATGGATCCTTCTACATCACGTGAGCTTTGCGCACATCCATTAGATGTAAACATTGCAGTTTTCAAAAAAGATGGGAACATTTTCTCATTAGCCTCTCACACAGGAAATGCCTTGCAGGAAGGAGCTGGGACAGCAAAGAGTGATGCAACTGTATAACAGCTACAGCAGCTCAACAATCACTCGTAAGACATTGAAGGTTTTGTTTTGCAAAATACTCACCCCTCCTAACTTCACATGTCCTAAACACCTAACAATAAATGTAACTCTGCATCTAAAACCTATACAAACCCTTTCCGGATGACCAAATTTAAGTACTTAAAACCTAGTTGTAGGTTTAACTCTTCTTAAAAATAAAACATCCCCAATACTACATTTCCGGCGAGAGTTAGCGGTCATAGCACTCTGATTTACTGGTTTTATAGCCTATCAATCAGAGAGGTCATATTGCAAAGCGTGGGATATGTTCCCACGCTTGAAGAACAGATTTACAAGAAAGACAACTTCTTATGGTAAGTATAATGGTGTTTTTTCGAATAGGATTTTTAAAATTTATCGTAAAGGCAAGCATCCAATGTAACACTCGTGGACACGCAGGTCCAAATCAGCAATTATTCATAGGTTGTGTAGGACCAACATAACCAACTTGCAAGGACGCGATGGCCTTAGCGATCTGTTTAAGCATGTCTAGTATAATGTAACATTGTACAATACACCAATTCCATCCATCCATGTTTCAGGCACTAAGTTGTGCTGGTTAGAGAAGCTTAAACAGTTTAAGCGCAACACCCTCCCTCCATCCCCTCGACAGGCCATCCTGATCTTGTAAGGAATATGTAGTTATACCCTCCTTGGACCCGCCTTAGAGGGGTTCAGGGATCGGACCGTGGTCGGCAACAAACCCTTCTCAAGGGAGGTGTCTCAATCTGAGGGGCGAGAAGTCAGAGGCAGGGAAGAGCATCGTACCGCTAGTTCTGTTAAGACAACCCCTACGTTCCCAGCCGGTGGACCCAGGACCCCACACTGCGGTAACCCCCCCCACCACGCCCCCTTACTCCTCAGTGTTGTAAGCAGTCGTCAGCCAATGCGTCCAAATGACTACGTATAATTGGAAGCGGTCCTTTGCTGTGTAAATCAATTCCTCCAGTCGTCTTAAGTCTTCCATTTTATCAAACCAGACCGTGAGGGGTGGTATGAGGTCCTGTTTTGCCATATTTAAGATCCAAATCGCCAGAGATTTCTTATATTTGGTGGTCGGTGAGAAGGTATGGTGTAGGAGAAATGGGGCAGGCCGGAATGGAGGGGGGCTGTCAGAAAAGTTAAATTATTCTTTTTGGCCCCCCCTATAGACTTTATGTTGGGGGGTGGAGGAGGGCTAAGTGATTGAGGACCCCTGACCGCCCTATTTAGGGAGGAGGTTACACAACCTATTTTATAATTAATTAGGGCCCTCGTCTGCTGGAATTGATGGAGGCCAAGGGAAGAGGCAATAGGCCCGCCTCTATTTTATAACTATTAGGGATGCAACTCTCCAGCATGCCCAGTCACTAGTTTTTAATGTTTAGCAGACATGTCCCCACATGTAAAATGGCAGGCAGGGCATATGGAGGTCCATTATAGTAATAAGGAATCTTATTGATCACCATTAGGAAGTGGCTGGGTAGCAAGTGCTGGCCAGCTGCCACATAATTAAACCTCATGCTGCTGAGGGTTTTTAACTATTTGCCCACTGGCTGCTTGTGGGCAAATTGTTCAGATAAGCTAGGCCCAGAGTTGAAGCCTCTGGGCTTGTATTCGATTCATACGGTCTAGTTAGGCTGAAATCCGGACCTAATTCATGCTCATCATGAAGTGTAAAAATAATCAATGTAAATAATTACAAAACCCTGACATTGATAAATTCCATCAACAATGTCTGAATTATGCAGCCCGATGGTTTAGGCTCATTCGGTTCGGGGCCACTCTGATACAGTGTTATTCACTAAAGCAGGCTTCCCTAAACTCCGGCCCTCCAGATGTTGCTGAACTACAACTCCCATGATTCTCAGCCCATTTCAATCATAGAATCATGTGAGTTGTAGTTCAGCAACATCTGGAGGGCCAGAGTTTGGGGAAGCCTGCACTAAAGTGAGAATTCAAAGTGAATTTCACATCTAGGACCAAAATAATCAAAGCACAAACATTTTCTAAGTCAGCGATACTTCCACATTGGATTTGAAACTCACATTAAGTTCTCATTTCATAACCCTGATGGTAAGGGTATAGCTCCCTGGCGTTTGTCAGCAGCCAGGTTGTGAACTAGCTAATTCAGTCCTTTGTAATAATTTTCAAGTGATGCATGTCCCTTTAATTACAAATGATCGCTCACAGAGCAGCCACTACATTTGAGCTATATGCATTGTGATGTTAGTCCAAATCGTACCTTTGAAAGCTTCCGTGGCACCAGGAGCATGATTCTTGTCAGGGTGAAATTTCAATGCTAGCTTTCGGTAAGCTTTCTTCAGATCGTCTTCTGTGGCTTCTCTAGTTACTCCCAAAATCTCATAGTAGTCTTTACACTGTTTTATTCTGTAGAGGAAAAAAAAATTACAGCTCAAGTTAGTGTTCACTAAGCACACAAATTTAAATTGTTCTTCACAAAAACAAACCAGACAAGCAAACCGCTAAACAAATAGGACTGAATTGTATACAAGAAAAAAATTATTGCACAAAAAGGAACAATGATACAATGGAGTGTATTGCACCAAACACTCACCTATCCCAAATCTGTAAAAACAAAACTATTTAGATACAATGTTCCCTAAACAATGGATTAGATTACAAATTATAAAAAAAAATATTTTTTTAAAAAGACATATCGGATATACTGCTTATATGACAATATATATGCCCTAAACATTTTATTTAGGAAATGTTAAAATTACATTTATCTCACCCATAGCTATCTGTAGCAAATCCCTTGCCAGCTATTCTCACATGTTAGCAGCATGAAGCACAACTGTGCAGTAATATGTTGGTGATGTCACATGTTGGGCAAATACACAAGCTAATTTGTGAATAATGCACATAACCAACATAGCAGCCATCTTGGTGAAGGTTGACACTTCAGATAATCTATTTTTAAATAAACACTCATTAGCTTTGTAATAAAGGAGACTTTACTCTGTACATTGCAGTGGTTCACCCCAACGTTCCTTATCCATTCCCCTTTTAAATAATTAAAATATAAATTTGAAAGAAAACAAACATGCTTAAATGCAAATGCTCTTGAGTAAGTGTAAAAATAATAAATCTATTGAATAATAGTAATAGTATTTGCCATGCTAAAAGCACCCTTTTCATTTACTCATTTCAGTAACCCTGGAAGTAGGCATGGCTAAGTAGACTCAGTTTGCACTTGTGCATCTTCAAGGTTTTAATCACACCAGCCGAATGAATCATCTTACTTAAAAGTAAAGAACAGCACTTATTCTATATAAAGGAAGCACAGCGCCTTCAAGTGGCACATTAACAAAATTACACCTATTTCTACCTTCCAGGTGCATGCAACATCATTATAGCATAGGTCACTATGGAGCTTCAGAAGAGAAGGGGGTAGAGAACTGTTTAAATATAGAAGGGAAGTAAATTCAAACAAAAAAACAAACAAAAAAATAAAATGAAAAAAAAAATGCATTTGGATGTGGCCATAAAAAGTTTACTGTAATTTATCATAGGTTAGGAAATTATTTTTCCCCAAAAGCTCAGGAATTGTAATTCAGGGTACCAGGCAGGCATTTTATTTTGTCTTTAGCTCTGCAACAAAGGAGCAGGGTTGGGGCAGATTGTGTTTTGCACCTCTACTGGGTGCAGACTAGGAACAGACAGAGTATTGGTTCTGCCAATTATTAGAGCAGATATTCAGCAATTTACTGATCATCGGTATCGGCATTGTAATTTACTGATAACTTACTCACTCTTCCAGTCACCACATGCTGTCTCCTGCATCCTGAATGACTGCCAGTCAGTAAAGCTCCACGTTGTGACCTCCCATTACCCCTTTCTGTGAGTCCCTGCATGCAGAGTTCAGCTAAAGCCAGGGAGGGGAGACCGTGTATAAACTAATGTAATGTATGGACTGGCTGACAGCGAGAGGAGTGCGATTGCAGTCAGCATGTTCAGTTAATGCCAGTTTTGTGTAGAAATTGTGTTACTTTTCAAAACTTTAAAATGTACAGAATATCGGAAATAGTTATCGGCAGTCAGCCCTAAAGGCGCCTCTTGCAGACCCCTATTGCAGACCATTGTAATCGATCCCTCGTAGTCTGGCGTTTACGAAGGAGTCTGAGAACAGCATCCAGTATGCCATGATTGCAGATCCCACTTGACCACCAGGGTGTTTAATCAAAAACAGAGACCAAAGACACAAACACGTTACATATAGCCAGCATACACCAATACACATTACACACACTACTGGGAAGAAAAAAAAATAAAAATCCACCTAAAATGTTGCCAGATCAACTTTGCCTCAGTTTTTCTATTCCGGTTATTGCACAAAATTTCTGAGGTTATTTCATAACTCTGTTAATGTCCAGGGCTCTAGGGTCTAAATCTAAAATTAATTTGTGTGTCAGGATGGACAGGTAGATTAGGCTAGTAGACCCATCGGTGTATAATTTTGCCACATGAAGAATTAACACAAATTGAAAATAAATGACTGTGTAGAATAGCTGTAAGCACCTATCAATTGAAAGCAGCTCTCCTTCTATGCTGTGGGAATCCAGGATATCTCAATCTGGTAATCCTTCCTCCAGTAGGTATTCCACGAGGAACATTTTTTAATTGGACAAATGTTGTTCTATTGTTTAAATAATAGGATTTATGGATTGTCCTTATTGTATTACATATTCCAGTTTTGTTCCTCTATATTAAATAAAATATATATCTGTTTTAAGCACTAAGGTTAATTATAAAATTGCAATGCACGCTCAGTGGACAATGCCGAAGTTGGAGCTTCCGTAGCCGTCCTTTTTGTACGCTCACACCTGTAAACTGGTTAATGCCAGGTAAAGCTCCAAAGTGGAACACAGACTATGGTAAAAATGGCAATGCCTACAATGGGGAGCTTCACATAAAACATTCCAAAGTGACAGTGCTGATTAAATAATATTGGGAGTGTTCCGAAAACTGCAGGTTGAAATACAATGAATCTTACTACCCCAACATTCTTAATAAGACCGGTTTACAACACACCTTTTCACTGCGTCGACCTGGTCTGGTGTGTAACTCTTGTTTGTTTCTCCGCCAACATCTCCATTAGCAGAAGGGGCAGAGTCGCTTGTGTTCTTCCGTAGTCGAGGATTTGTAGGTTCTGTGCTGTCAGACGGAGTGCTATGCTGGCTGTTTTTGTTGATGGAGTTTATTAGATCTAAAACAAAGATATATATTGTTAGAACCAATTCCCTTTTTTTGTTTTTTTGTTTATAGATTAGCTAATTTGAACAGTGCTTTCTTCATCTCGTCTCTTAATATTTTGAATGTCAATTATTCCCATTCTTTGACTATATGACACTGCAGAATATGTTGGTGCTATGTAAATAATAATATTTTCAATTATCCTAGCACACAAACAAATAACCAAAGCTTTAAAAGCATGCAAACGATAAGTAAAATAGCAAAATGTACACCATTTACACTCTAAGCAGGAAATCAATAGCTCTCCAGCTATGAACTCCCACGATTCAACAGCCGCATTATGGCTAGGCCACTTCAAACTCCATTTTATATAAAATAGCATTATATTGTGATTAGTAATAAGCAGTGTTCCACGTTTGAATCTTTCCAAGTCTCTTTCATGTACATGTGAGTAACAAACCCTCCCCCCCCTTAAAATTTTTTTTTCTTCTTTCAATGGTTGAATCTGATATTAATAAAAATACAAAAAAAAATCTCATTTGTTAGTCCCAATACATTTGTAATTATATCTACTAAGAACGTATACTTGAAATGGCTTCTTGGGATCTTACAGAACAGTTCACAGGAGTTCCCTGAATTATTTATGTTCAGAATTACACTCCAATTAAACCTAACGAGTTCACGATGCTCCAGACCCTAATTGGAACTCAATCTGCCAAAAGGAGCAGTAATTTACGGTTTGCTTGAAAATGAAGTGTATGTTCTGCCAAGCATGTGTGACGTTTTCCCAGCATAAGCCTTTGTTTATTCTTTCAAAACAGCAATTCTACTACCAGATATGCAAGATGTGTACTTCTTTGCTTGGTACTTTATTCTTTGTATTTTTTTATAACAGAGACTGTCTTTTAGTATATAGCTACATGTTGCTATATAAATAATAACATGGATGCTATTTAAATGGCTGGTCCATTTTTCAAATATTACTGCACTGTCAAACAAAACAAAAACTCCGGGTTGGTTATAATGCCTGGAGTCCCCTGCGGCTGTCCAACCATTTTTAAACAGTTTACCACTAAATAAGGGTCACTGGCTGCTCACATCACAGGCACCACTGGAACGATGGCTAATGCAGAGACAAAACTCTTCCATAGTAATACCAATTCACACCAGCAATGTGCTTTTTTTTTTGGTTGTAAATTGTCAGTTGACACTCATCCAATCACCACAGCCACTGCAGCTCGGGCCAATTCATTAGCCCGACCAGCACACGGTTACTTTTGGTAGACTCCCATTTAGCGTTAAGCCATTAACGAACGGTTTATCGCTGAACAGCGGGACAGAACCAAGGGATTCCAGGCACTATAACCACTTTAATGAGATGAAATTACGAAACTGGCATGTTCTAAGATTGGTCACACAGGAGGAGAACAATCGGTTCTTCTCTCTTCTTCATAAAGAGTGATTTTATTTCACTGATTCCTGTTCACAATTTCCATTTGTCATATTAATGAGGTGGAAGGAAGGGGTTGAAGTCAATCTTGATTACTGTGGCTGCACAAATATATGAAATAAACATAGTATTAAGCTTATAATAGACATTCTGTAATATGTTCACATTCTCCACACTTCAGCTACAGATAGCATTCATTCCCAAGCTACAGAAAAAAATATATAAAAATCATCTTCACTCAATGTGTTCCTAGTGGGTTGTTTGTTTTATTTAGCACCTCCCTCCGTTTTGCTGAGTGTACTTTTTCTTAAATAAAATAGTATCCCTCTCTCCCGTCCACCACTCCACTCACGGTTAGGTGGCTACATGACTGTCCAGCCGTGAAGATTCTCTTGAAACCTGGGGGATTAGGCTGTTTCTATTATTTGACCCAACAAGTCCCTCAAGCGACCAGCAAATGTATACATACGCAGGAGCAAAACACAAATGTACAGTAGTGGGATACACGCGGTCTGTGAAATTTGCCATGAAATGTAAACATGTGAAACGCAAAAAACATTTTTTGCAGATTTGGAAACATTTGTAATAAAATGGTTAACTGAAAAGTGCCAAAAAGTTTGGGGGTCTACTTGTTACAAATATATACGTTTGTGTAACAGTTTTGGACTCTGTGACAACCATTACATTTGTATTTTTAGCATAACAAATTTTGCTACATTTTAGCATAATTTCAATAAATAGAACTAATAAATGAATCAGGGTTTGTGTTGTTTTTTAATTGCAAATACTGTCCAGAAATTATAAGCAAAACTATAAAGACAGCAGAAGAAAGACTCATCTATCCTTTAAAAAATGTTCTATAATATGTATGGGTACAATTAAACAGAAAGTGTTAAATTAAATGAACACAAATCAAAAAGGCCTCAGTCACAGAAACATCACATCTCAGAATTGCCTTAGTGTTTAATGGGTTAACAAGAACCAAGCAAATGTAGTTCACACCAGACTTTAATCCTTTGCATGCTGGGAGATAAGTTAAATATTGTTTTGTACACAGTATGAACAAGAAAGAATGTTGTTGGGATGGATGTGTTTACTATGTAATGCGGGTCTTATACCTCTCCAACCCTTGTGTGCTAGATGTGCTCACAGGTGTACAAAGGGAGACAACTGTGAATTACTTTCAGTCTGAGACTGGATGAATGGCTGCTAGCAGGAAAAGGCATTACCATCTGGACTCCAGTTGTCTTGCCGATATCCTCTGTTGGTGTGAAAAAGACCGCTTAGCCCCTCAGAAGGCAGAGCACGTACTCGGGAAATGATCTGAAATAGATTATTGCTGCTTCCTCCGTAACAGGCGATATTGGCTTGACACCTGATGTTGGCACAGACTTACAGAGTGAGTATCGCTTCTCATTCTGCTCATTATTTTGATCCATGAATAAGCTAAATCAGAAGCAAGGCCCTTCTGATGTGTCAATGTATAAGATTAGCACCTCCATTTGTTTTCTTTTAAATGAATGAAGAAAAAAAAATACAAAAAACTGGACCACATATAAGGGAAAACTAATGTGGTCTCAGCGTAGCCTCTATTTGATCTGTGCCACAAATACTTTAATAAAAATAATTTGCTTTTCTGCTTCTGTCACAAGCAGTTTGCGCTAATCTTTTGTCAATTGTTTCATTAATGAAGTTCACTTAAGGAACACTCCATTGCATTTATAAAACTATTTAGTAGCTATACCCCAAAGAAAACATGTATGTATTTTTCCTGCATGTTCTCTTTGGTAGTATATGAACAGTTTACAAAACTCCTATCTGCAGCCTTTCAAGCCATCCCCTCTTTCAATGAGACAGACTGTCAATCTGTGCAGGGAATACACCAATCCATGGATTCTTATTGATAAGCCTCTGTGTTGGAGCCAAAAGCAAGCACAGTAGTACAAATCAATGTCACGGGGAGCTGACACTTCCATAGATCTATTGAGCCAACAGAAGCAGACGAAAACCTCCCTGGCAATCGGAGTGGAAACCAGGGAGGGGTTTCTGGCCCCAGTCAAAAACATGCCAATTGCTATTGAAATCAGCTGTTTTAGAAACTGTCAAAAAAAAAATATTTTTTAAAATACAAACTCTAAACACATCAGCACTTTGCTTTTGTGCTTAAAAGAACACCCCAGACACACACATAAAATGGAAACTAAAACTGAAAGAAGTTTATCAATAGCTCACCCCAAAATTATTTAATAAATAAATAAATAAAAAAACACTAAAGTTCTTCTATGGAATTGCATTTTTAGACTATGAAGCCATTCTTCATACGGTAACGTATTAAATGTGTATTTTGTCTTCAAACAAACAGCAGTACACGAGAGCACCGTTGTGATGTGAACAGAAGTAAACACAAGCCCATTGGGACCCAATTACAAACTCTGTTCTTACTGCTGTACATTTCAGGATCAGCAAGCGCATGTACTGAGAAAATGTGGAAAATGAAAGCCAATGGTTTACTATCACAATAGCGATGTCCCGAACTGTTCGCCACGGACTCCGGTCAGCAGACACATTCCAGCCAATCAGCAGCAGACCCTCCCAACTCCTGGACAGCATCCATTTTGAAGCTGCATTCTTAGTGAGCTGTCCAGGAGGGTCTGCTGCTGATTGGCTGGAATGTGTCTGCTGACCGGAGTTCGCGGCGAACAGTTTGGGACATCACTATATCGCAACTTTGCAGTCAAATGTAATTAGACAGAATAAAAATCAAACATTGTGGTGGACTATGCAGGTATTTAATATTAGAAAATGATCCAATTCTGCAGTCCTCTGGGTCCCCTACCTGCCATTTCTAGATATTATCAGCTAGTGTAAAGTTTGGATTTCAGTTTGTTCCTGGATAAAATGGATTGTAATTTTGATGCTTCTTAGGGGTGAAAAAAGTGAAGTTCCTCCTGGACGAACATTGGGAAGTTTCTCAACTTTTACTTTTCTTCAAGCATGACCAGAAAGAAAACAAGTAAAGAAAATCTGTACTGAATTCCTAGTCTGACGAAGGGCCCCAGAGGAAACAATTCAGAAGTCAGTCCTATTTGCCAGAACATATTAAAATGCTATGTAGAAAACCTAGTTGCCAGGCACGGACGGTGGAGATATATTGGAATAATAGAGCATTAAGCCTTCGTTAATTACTTCAACCTGATAACAGGGAATACACTGACCCCAAATAAACACCAACATCTTACATGCGCTCCTCCCCCCCCCGATTATTGCAAACTTGTACCACTGGCAGCACTTTATACAGGGCATCTTAGATTGCCTGTAAGAAATAAAATAAATTAAAAATATACGTTGGGGAATCTAAGCCTACCATACCATTTCACTTATTATAAAAGCTGCTCATTATGCTATGCTGGTCCATGTTCACGACAGCCATAATGTTCCTGACAAAGTGGTTTTGGTGCCTGGGGTGTCCCTATAAGTATACCTACCAATTCTGACTTATAAAAAAACCCAAAAAACCTCTACAATCTTGGCACGCTTACAGAATGACTGATGTATCATCCCATCACCTCTTGTTTACGCAAGCCAATACTGAGGAATAGATATAATTATAAGCTAATTAACTCCAAACATATGATGACTCATGATAAAAAGAAACTGGAGTTATAAATCAAGGAGCAATTAACTGCTGTAGGTACTATCACTCTTTGTGGTTTAGCATCAAAGAGCAAATTTGGGGAGATGTACATAAATCGCTTCAAGGTAGACTGGGGCTGCTGTTTAACAAACATTCTGCTTGCCAGCCTATATTACACATTTCTGACATAACTGGGCACATACGTAAAGAATTGGCCTCAAGATCTTAATTTTCATATATGTATGTGGAGTTACGAACAGTGTTATTACACAAGGACTTATAAGCACCAAATCTTAGGCTATTGGATCATTCACTTGCTGCACTTTTGGTGCTTCCTTTTTCTACTGCCCACTTGTGTACCCCATTTTTTTTTGATGGGATATTTTATTGTACTATATAATGTCCTTTCACAAAAGGAACCCTGATACCCTTTTCCAAATTTATGTTAGTTCCCAAGTACAGATAGCCCAAATTTTGATTCTGCCGATTATTAGAACCAATATTCAGCATATTTCTGATAATCAGTATTAGCCTTGTAATTTACTGATAACTTAGCTCTAATAGTCAAACGCCGTCTTTCACATCCGGATACTCCAGCCAATGAAGTGCCATGTGGGAGCCTCATGTCACCCCTGCCTGGGAGTATCCGCGTAGGGAGCTCAGCTGAAGGCAGGGAGATAAGACCGTGAATAATCTACTGCAGAGATAGCACTCCAGATGTTGTGGACTACATCTCCCAGAATTTTAATAGAGCCATAATGCTGGCAAAGCATCATGGGAGATGTAGTCCACAACACCTGGAGTGCAGAAGGTTGCCTTCCCCTGATCTACTGTATTGTACTGGCTGAAAGAGTGATGGGAGTGTTGTTTCTGTCAGTACAAAAAAAAAAAAAAAAGTTGCTGTGAACGGATAACAGCTCAATTAGCCTGCCCTTCGGTGGATCCCTGCTCACTTCTCAAGCCTGTTTTAGCTCAGGTTGTACCATTACAAAAAGAACCAGGGTCATTTGCATATCAGACTGATCCCACTCATTAGGGCAGAACAGATCCAAAATGCATTCCGTCTCTCTCTGCACGAGAGATACAGCAATCCCAGACGGTAGTTTTTAACCTTGTTAGGCATCGTCAGATAGGTATAGTCAATATCCCTCTAGGCACTGTGAACAAGGTGTCCACATCTGGATAACCCTTTAAACTTATGGAGAGAGGGGGGCGGAGCTAGCAGCGGTGCTGCACAGACGCAAAGTCAGACAGCTCCGGCTGACTAAATTAAATCTCGCCTGAATCTAAGCCCACACACACCATCGGTCAAACTAACAACCGGCGAAAGACATAGGAGGTACACCCGCACAGATTGATGCCCTTCTTCCTCCCCAAAAACGCGCCCAGGCGGAGACGCAGGCCCGGAGCCTACACCACACAAGAGACCCCGGACTGGGGGAACCTTCTCGGCAGAGTATACGACCACTGGGAAACAGCCTACCTGCCCGGTTCACCACCAGAACCCGAACCGGTGGCCCAGATGCCCGCCACGGGACGGTGATCACAAAAACAACACCCTCAGCCCGCTCACCAAGACATAGGAGCCCTAATCCAGAAACAAGTGCTGCCAAAGATGGCGCCCACGGAGAGCACCCCTGCCGCCACACTCGAACAACGGGACTCACAGGAGAGGGGTAAAACACTCCCCACACCTCAAATACCTACAGAAGCCACAGTGGACTCCAGTCCCATAACTAAACACGACCTGAAAATCCTACTACAAGATTTTCACAAGGTACTAACAGCCGAACTCGCAGTACTGAGAGCAGACATGCAAAACACAGCTGACTGAGTGAGGGCCACTGAAGAGGACATAGTGGACATCCATGCTGACCTCTCCCAGGTACATACAGAGGTACAACAGCTTACCAAGTCACACCAAGCACTATCCCTGCAGCTCACCTCCCTAGAGGACAAATACAGACACAACAACGTGGCATCCCGGCCACTATCTCACCCGACGAACTGCCTCATTATGTGAGACGGTTGTTGGCAAGCATCCTACCCCAGGCCGTTGCAAAGAAATTAGCAATGGATGGAGTGTACAGAATCTCAGCCCCGTCCAGGGTCTCACAAAATACAGACAGAGACGTCATACTGCGCTGCACTACATCCCAGGATAGGGGACGCATCATGGCAGCACTGAAGGGCAAAACGCCACTGCTATTCGAAGGATCACAATTGACCTTTTACCAAGATCTGACACGATCAACCCTGCAATGGCGCAAAACACTGGCGCCACTCACCACACAACTGAGAGCAGCTGGCGTAAAGTACCGCTGGGGAGCACCGGGATCCCTCATGGTGATCCACCAAGGACAAACTCACACCCTCACCTCTCTCTCCGAGGCACCAACATTTCTCACAGCCCTGGGACTACCAACACCTTCATCCGCCCCACCGAGGCCCACCTCCACGGGGATCCTGCCACGACCATGCCATTCACCCCAAGAGCGAAAATCAATCCACAACCCAACAACACTGGACAATCGGGAAGGTCATATTGATCCTGACTGAGAGACACCTGAAGCCCACCGTGGCAGCTATTGCCCCAGTTACTGTTACTTATGTTGTTAATGTCTTATTTCTAACTCTGCTAACACCTCCAAACCAGACCAGGAGCCCACTACGCAAGCTCCTCTACCCTTAGCAGCAACACTAACAGGCGAGACACCTCTCCCCCCCGCTATCCCCCTTAGGTTAGGGGTACCAAATGAACCAAGTGTTACACAAGTCGGAACACACAGCTCCATCAGGGAACTCACCCCCTAGATTAACAGGGCCTACTATGCCCCCTAAACACTTGGCCCCACTACCCCTCAGTGATAAGCCTACAACAAGCAAACTCCCTGGTCAGTAACCAACCAGTATACCTGGCACTTAACAACCATCTCCACCAGTGAGTTTCACCCTCCAAACACAACACCTTCTTACTAACACTGAGCCTTACCTCTCGAATATATACCAACCCTCCTGTAACACTCCACAGCGTACCGCTCCTAGTAAACACCTTGCAGGTCTTGACTAAACCTCTTCCTGATATACGTTGTTCAACCTTGTTTAATGTAAAAATTATATGCCAATCCCTCATGTCACATGACAATCTAAAAACACAAAACTACTACCTGCATTATTGACATAACGGATACCAATGTTGTATTTCTTTGGCATGAAAAATAAAGAATAAAAAAAAAAAAAAAAAAAAAACTTATGGAGAGCAAAAAAAAAAAACAAGTCGCAAGAGTGCACGGAGGACAGACAACGGCTCAATTAGCCTGCCCTTAGGGGGATCCCCACTCAGTTCTCAAGCTGGGTTTAGCTCAGGTTATGCCACTACAAAAAGAACCAGGCCATTTGCATATCAGCCTGATTCCACCCATAAGGGCAGAACAGATCCAAAATGCAGGCCGGCTCTCTCAGCAAACACACTCCCATCAGTAACAGCACAGTACGCTATTGGTATCATTATAAATCGTTAATATCATGACAATATGGGATGACACGTTCGAGTCCTTACTAAGGTTCCACCAGGAACTTCATTCATTCCCCAAAGACATCCAATTCACTATGGTAATAACCAACTGAGCATCAACTTTCTGAATACCACGGTGTTCAAGAAGGGTTCGGCCTTAGTGACAGATCTTTTTGTTAAACAGACTGATACCTTTCTGCGTTGTAAGTGCACATCCTACCAAGTTACTATTTGCCCTTCCATGTAGTCATATTTTTAGGATTAAACATATTGTCACTGATACTAACATCTGTATCCAGAGACTTAAAGAAATGTGTAATAAATGTTTACCCTAAATTACTGCTGCATAAGGAACTATGTACCTTAAACGGACACTATAGTCACCAGAACAACTACAGCTTATTGTATTTGTGCTGGTGAGTATCGTCAGTCCCTGTAGGCTTTTTGCAGTAAACATTGTTTTTTCAGAGAAAAGTCTAGGGACACCTCCAATGGCTGTTCCTTAGATGGCTACTAGAGGTACTTTGCTGTTGACAAAGCCCCTATAAAAAAAACAAAAAACACCAAAATAAATAGGGATATGCAGAGGAGGAAAGTTTTACATTTTGGTAAAAAAAAATTTAAACCTTTTCTACTCGGTTCACCACAGAGAACTCTCCGGAAGGGACAATTCCTCTACGTTTTGTGTACTTAAATCTAAACCCTTCAATAAACATGGAATTTAAAAAAGACTAAATTTAGCTATTGTAGTAAAAGGAGAGCAAGGAATGAATCAGATGTGACAAACACACAGAACATTGGTGAATAAGAAGAGGTCTCTCAGGGCAGTAAATGACTATAGCTTGCAGAAATTAGGTCAAGCCTGATGAAGGCAAGAACTGAAAGCATAGCAGCATATTAACAGTCCTTGGAGGTGCCAAGGCTTAAAGGACCACTCTAGGCACCCAGACCACTTCAGCTTAATGAAGTGGTCTGGGTGCCTGGTCCAGCTAGGGTTAACCCATTTTTTAATAAACATAGCAGTTTCAGAGAAACTGCTATGTTTATTAATGGGTTAAGCCTTCCCCCTATTCCCTCTAGTGGCTGTCTCATTGACAGCCACTAGAGGCGCTTGCGTGCTACTCACTGTGATTTTCACAGTGAGAGCACGCAAGCGTCCATAGGAAAGCATTATAAATTGCTTTCCTATGAGACCGGCTGAATGCGCGCGCAGCTCTTGCCGCGCGTGCGCATTCAGCCGGCGGGGCGTAACGGAGGAGGAGAGGAGGCAGAGAGCTCTCCGCCCAGTGCTGGAAAAAGGTAAGTTTAAACCCCTTTCCCCCTTCCAGAGCCGGGCGGGAGGGGGACCCTGAGGGTGGGGGCACCCTCAGGGTGGGGGCACCCTCAGGGCACTATAGTGCCAGGAAAACGAGTATGTTTTCCTGGCACTATAGTGGTCCTTTAACACAGAGCCTACATAGGCTAAGCACCATAGGAACAGGACAAGCAGGTAAAGCATAACAAGGCAAAGGGATAAAGAGAATCACATTAACGTGTAAACAAATCAAGGAGAACAGAATAATTCAGGACTAGCCAGGTCAGATATCTGTGGAATAATTACTAAGAATTTACACTTATACCAAAACTGAAACCACAACAGGTATTGTTCGGTCTGTGACGAGGGTTTAAAACGGGATGGTCACACCGTTTCTGGTTAACATCACAACTGCCAAAATCAAAGTACAAGTGCAATGTTCTCCAAAAGGACACAATAGGCCATGTAGGGTAGGGAAGCATCTGGCATCAGAAATAATGACAGGAGTAGCCATTGTGCTGTGAGATGAGACGTGGGAGAAGGAGCACCCACAGGTATCATGACAAGATCTAAATCGGGTAAGAGCAATACAACTGCCTGGGTAACAGAGCAATGGCCAGGAATCCTAGGTATTATATTTTTTTAATTCTTTATTTTTGTTAGTGCAGTGTAACAAAATTCTAAGCATTGGACAGGCATGTAGTAGGTTGAAGAATAAAGTGCATCATATATGACAATTACAATGAACCATTTTTGTAAACATCAGGAAAATGCAAACTGGGTTCCCCTGGGGTAAAAGGTGTACCATGTGTGCTTTAATCAGATTCATAGAATACATGAGGAAAAGCTAGTGGAGTATTGTGAATGCTTGCTTACTCGTATAGGAAAGTGTTGGGATCTTAAACATTCGATTACAAATTAGCACAGGTCCTGAAACTCGGTGAGCGGGCTTTGGATGTAACAGAGGTTGGTTGGGGACATGATAGACTGCTGTATCTAGGAAAGTGATATAAATACTGTGGCGGTATACCCTGCTGAAGATGGGTTTCTACCGCCTATGGTCAACCCTCCCTAGTTGTGATAGCTCTAGAGTGATTATAGCTGCCATTATAATATTGCTGAAGGAGTAACTACAGTATCACCCAAACACGAGCCGAGGCTTATTGAAGGGTGAAGAAGAATTGTTTATTCCCAGCCAAATGGCTCACGTTTATACAGAATCTGGTACAGTAGACACTCCCCAAAACACACCCACAATGTAACCACAAAATGCATAGTCATCATGACCCAGCAATACATGCAAGAAATATGAAAAAACAAAAATGCATATTTCCCACATAGGAACCCCCACTGTCTATACATCCCTCGATAGCCTGGATCTGAGCGCCCTACATATCCGAAAAGCACTAAGATTCCAAAAAACGAGCTGAAACGCCACCGTGTGGAAGTTCTGACCGGCCGCACACATGGTCCTATGCCCAAAACAGTTCCAGGGCATTTTGTGGTTTTGGCGGGTCAACTTCTGGAGTTCCATGTGAACTAAATACTTAACGCACACTCTGGCTGATTGGTTCATACAAACAAAGCTACCGAATGGCGCTCTCCTGACGTGTGTGTGTGTGTGGAAGGAGCAGGCATTTGTCCAAGTTCAGTGGTGTTCGGGAGTTTCAGTGTCCAATTTTAGTTCCATGCGATCGATGCCCAAACACAGCTGCCTGCATTCACGCAAACAAGATGGCCGCCACACAGTTCCAACATGTTCGTGCATACGAACGGCAGCCACCCAGCCGCACAATTAAAACCCACACTGATAGATCGGTCAGGAATGGTTAACAAGGGTCAATAAGCTCAGAGGTTATCTGCAATCTTTCAATAGCCTTTTAGCATGGCCCATAGTCCTGAGGTAGGAGGCTAGCAAGCAGGCTCCTCCAGAGGGCAAGTTCGCCACAAACACTGTGTGAGCAGTGGAGATTTGGGTAGGAAGTAGTACCTCATACATGGAGAACCCTAACCAAAAGGGTTGCGGGGGGAAGGAAAGGAGTAGACACCAAATATCTATCAGCTCTGGGCTGGGCGAACGTACTCATAACCCTTTAGTGTACAGCACATACAGTTTTATGGTTAACAGATTAAAGGAAAGCATAAAACAAATATTAAAAGAACACAATTGCATTACATTTAAGAGCGTCATGGCTGCCATATGCATATGAACAACTGAGTTCAGGCTGACTGAGGATTGACTCCCATGACAGTCAGGTGTTTGGGTCCCACGAGCCTCCGGCTCTCAGAGTAAACGGAACAATGTTGGCGGGATCCCAGGTGCTTGTAGGGGGTGTTTCTTCGTTCTCCTTGATTTGTTCTTCGTTGCGTTCCACTAGTCGCACTGTTGCCGAGTGGGTTACTCCGTGGTGGGTTCCAATCAGTGCTCCCCACTGGTATGTGAGTACTGCAGCTCTCATCTGGGATGTGAAGGGCCCAAGGGATTTGAGCCAGAGAAGAGTGAACTTTGTGAGGTCTTGATAGAATGACAGATGCAAAGACAGAGGTGCTTTGCCTTTCAAGGCCAGCATAATTGTTTTTGTCCTGTGAAGACATGCAGCGGATAACAACATTCCTAGTCTGGTTAGACGATTTAGAGGATCCTGGTGTTCGGTAAACACCATCGGTGGTCACTTGTTTGGCTGCTGAGGGAGGTAGTATTGTTACCAGTAGCCTCTGAGTGTAATTCAGGAGCTCTTTGGCCGTGACTGTGGTGGGGATTCCACAAACATTTATGTGATTGCAGCGCTGCCTGTCCTCCAGTGCGCCCATTCGGTGTGGCTGTCTGGTGACACTGAAGTTGTGCGATTGAGTAGCCAGAGGCAGAGAGATTGGACCGCAGACTAACAAGGTCAGATTCCGACACCCTCACTCATTCCGCGATGGCTTGGATACTGGTATTGAGGAGCGTCAGGTCAGCTGCCTACAATTTGTGTTTATCAGCAGCAGGGCCTTTAGATTGTCTTTGGTGGTAGGTCCCGAGCCATCAGGCGGGTCTGAAAGATGTCCTTGGTCAGCCTGAGGCTCAAGTGTGGCCTCATGTATACCTTGCTCTGGAGAAGTTGTAGCATACAGGCCTTCCGCAGGGTTCATTCTAATTTGTGCAGGCCTCTGCAATAGGATTCCTATATCCCTGCCATCAACTGCGGTGTTCGGTTTATGCAAGCAACATCCCATGACTGGTATAGGCGGCGTGTGTGTGTATCAATAAGCCCCCCTTAGCTGTACCACCAAGCAGCGATTCCAGGCCCTTGACGGTCGGTGTGTAATAGGCCCCGTTCTAACGCCTCGACTTGGGCTGTTTAGGTGAGTAAAAGAAAGGCATCGACTGATGCAGCTCGACTTGGGGGAACAAGTTAGAGGTGTTGTGAAGCTGGATGGGCTCTTAATCAGGAGATATTTGACAGATGTTGATTCAGCAGCGAGGAGCCGTCAGAAATGGCGTCTGAACGGTTCCGCTTCCAAGCTCCGCCCCTTTATTGAGGTTCAATAAATAGCACAAATGATCCAGAAGACTCTTGTCTTCCCAAAATCATGGATCAAAATAGACATATTCTGTAAGGCCAGGCAAACTAGGGCACCAGTAATTGGACATAAAGTAAGATTATTATATTGTTTGGACCTTTACAATACTTTCCTACAAATGACACTACAGCCTTGGAAATGTTTTTTTAAAATAAAAGCATGTATTACAAATGGTTAAAACACTGCTCCAAATGTCAGAATACATGCAATATCTCTGAGAAAACTAGAAGTTGAGAAGTAGATAACTCCCTGTGGAGTTTGTCTGCATGTCTTGTACGCAAGAGCAGCCAGGTACATCTACTATGCACACCAGTCCCTGTCTGTATAGAATGTGCTTCCTCACATGGATTGATCACGAAAACATTATTTTTTTTATTATTTTTATTTTTTTTAAAGATACATTTTTAATCTATCAGTTCTCTTCTTTTATTTTATATTTTAAAGTGACACACTAAGCATTATAAAAGATTATAGCATATTGTAATGGGTATGGTGTAAAGCAGGGTCCAGCAATCTTTGAGGTCCAGGTGCCCATGTGTGTAAATGGACCACATTTATAATAGTTGATGGCTCCTTAATTGGGTATTCTTACACGGTATTGCTATATGTTAAGTTACTAAACTAGGGAGATATCTCTTAAACAACTGAAAGATCAAAATTAAGAAAAGCCCTTATAGGCACTTCAGCTAATTAAATTGGCCTGGGTATAATGACCTATTGCACGTAGTGCTGAAATATAAAACATTGCAGTTCCAGAGAAACTGCAATGTTTACACTGCAGTACTATGTCTACCTCCAGTGGCTGTCAACCAGTCTGCCACTAGAGGTGCTTCCTGCATCCAAATGGACCTTTGGTCTGGTATTATTATCGCCATTTATATAGCGCGAACAGATTCCGTAGTGCTTTACAATATTATAAGAGGGGGGATTTAGCTATAAATAAGACAATTACAAAAAAAACTTACAGGAACGAAAGGTTGAATAGGACCCTGCTCAAACGAGTTTACAGTCTATAGGAGGTGGGGTGTAAAACACAACAGGACAGGAAATATCAATCAAAATAGGTGGGAGTGAAGCAGAGCTGGAAGAGAGAGTATAGTGCTGCCCTTCAGGAGAGAGTAAGAGACAGGTATGTGAGGGAGAGGTTACTCTGGGAGGCCATAAGCCTTCCTAAAAAGATGGATTTTAAGGCACTTCTTAAACGATTGAACACTAGGGCAGAGTCTGATGGCGATATTCCGGCTGTTCCATAGGAAGAGAGCCAACCGCGAGCGTGAGTTGGCTGTACGTGTGCGAGTAGTGGACAGGAGAAGGTCACGGGCAGAGTGGAGAGACTGAGAAGGGGCATACCTATGGATCTGTGAAAAGATAAGAGGAGCTAGAATTGGTCAATGCTTTATAGGTATGGGTTAGCATTTTTAATTATACAGAAAGCCAATGTAAGGACTCACAGAGGGGTGAAGTGTGAGAGGACTGAATAGAGAGGAAAATCAGTCTGGAGGCAACATTCATTACAAACTGTAGCAGGGCAATACGGTTTTTGGGAAGACCAATTAGGAGAGGGTTACAATAATCCATGCAGGAAATTACTAGAGCATGGACAAGCTCTTTGGTACCATCTTGTGTAAGAAAGGGGAGGATGCGGGCTATGCTTTTAAGATGGAATCTACAGGATTTAGTAACATGCTGGATGTGGGGCTAGAAGCAAATTTGACACCACGACGTGAGCTTGTAAGGATGGACTGATGTGGATACCACTGACTTGAAGGGAGAGCAAAAGAAGAGGATCAGTATTAGGAGGAGGAAAGACAAGTTCATTTTTTAGAGATTTAGTTTTAGAAAGTGGGAGGACATCCAGTCAGAGATGGAGGAAAGGCAAGCAGTGACACGTTGCAGGACGGCAGGGGAAAGGTCTGGGGAGGAGAGATATAGCTGGGCGTCATCAGCATAGAGTTGGTGGTGGAATCCAAATGAGGCAATAAGTTTGCCAAGAGTGGCAGTATAAACAGAAAATAGAAGGGGACCAAGGACAGAGCCTGGGGGAACTCCAACAGAGACAGGATGAATGGAGGAGGTATCATTAGAAAAGGAGACACTGAATGAGCGTTGGGAGGGATAGGACTAAAACTTGAGAGGACAGTGTCACAGAGACTGAGTGATTGAAGAGTTTGAAGAAGGAGAGCATGGTCAACTGTGTCAAAGGCAGCAGAGAGGTCAAGAAGTATTAGTATGGAGTAGTGGCCTTTGGATTTAGCCACGATTAGGTCATTAGTAACTTTGATAAGACAGTCTCAGTAGAGTGGAGGGGGCGGAAGCCAGATTGAAGAGGGTCAAGGAGAGAGTTGGAGTTGAGGAAGTTAGATATATGGATAAAGTCAAGTCTTTCCAGAAGCTTTGAAGAAAAAGGGAGCAGGGATATGGGACGATAGTTAGAGGGGGTGGATTTTTCAGAATAGGTACTACAGTAGCATGTTTAAGGTCAGCAGGGACAATGCCAGAAGAGAGAGAGCAGTTGAAGATGTGTGTTAAGGAAGGCACAAGACAAGGGGAGAGAGAGATCTGATATGGTAAGATGGGACAGGATCAAGCGGGCAAATGGAAAGGAGAAGCGCAGCCACCTTTTGTTCAGTATGTCACATTCATCCGCATATAAAAATGTGATTAATGACATTTACTGTTCTGACAGGAAAAGTTGTGCCGAGCAGCAATCAAATCCACAGGAGGGTTTGTGCTGAGCAGCAATTATGCAAATGGGAACCTGGTAACTGCCTTTGGGGTCAAAGGCCGATTACAGCCTATCAGATCCAGAAGAGGGGTATTTAGGCCCAGTTCTCATCCTGCTCAGTGCCCTGTCGTGGTTTCCCTAGTGGTTGTCCAAGAGCGCGTTATGGATTCAAGTTTCTTACGGTTTTTTACTTCCCTGTATTCTGGTATCCCTGACTTCTGGCTTTCCCTTATTGTTGTGTTTCTTTCTGTATCCCCTGACCTCGGCAAGTATCCAGACTACGCTTTGGTACGTTCAGTCCGGCCATTCTAAGGCCCGGTAATATTTTACCTATTAGTCATCTGTGTGACACACTTCTACGTGCTGGATCAACTAGTAATCCTGACACAGTAGCCGGGAGAAAGTCTGAAGGGTAGGAAAGGCATGATCTACGTGTGGTTAAGAAAGAGAAAGGCGGGGTGGGGAGAATTCTTTCCTTAGCCGTTCAGTCTTGTCGGTAAAGTAGCATACAAAGCTCTCGGCTGTAAGGTTAGGCCACAGAAGGGCGAAGAAGAGAGTTAAAGGTGTCAAAGAGACGCCTGGGACTGCGGGAGCACAAACTAACAAGAGAGGACAAGTAGGACTGTTTGGCGAGGGCAAGGGCTGCGCTGTATGAACACAATATGAATCTTTAATGGATAAAGTCTGACTGGGTGCGAGACTTCCTCCAGCAGCGTTCAGCACAACGGGAGCATCTTTGCAGGTAGCGTGTTGATTTAGTATGCCACAGTTGGGAGCGTGTCCTCCTGAAGGTGAATGTTTGGAGTGGGGCTGCAGTGTTCAAGGCGGAGGTGAGGTTAGTGTTATATGTGGAGATGGCCAGTGAGGGACAAGAGAAGGAAGGGATGGTTAGAAGTTGCGAATCAATATCGGCTAACAGCTGCTGGAGGTCAATAGAATTAAGGTTCCTCCTGAGTTGAGGGGGGTTAGGCGGTACTCGAGAGCAAATGATAAGCGAGAGGTCAGAGAGAGAAACAGCCCAAGGGAGGAAGTAGTTGAAAGTAGTTTAGAGCATTAATTCCTATGGGGAGGTCTAATACGCGCGCATTAGCACGTGCTCGTCGCAGGTTGTTAGAGGGGACTAATCCACGGCACATCAGTGCTGGAATCGGGTGAAGGGTTTTTAACCCTTTATTTACCAGTCGTGGGATGGAGGAGGAGGCGACCCAGCACCGAGGGACATCAGCGCTGAGGTAAGCCAAGTAAATAAAGGTGTGTTTTTTTTTTTTAACGTTTATAGACCACTGAGCGGGGAGGGGAGGGAGGCAGAGGTAGCTATAGTGCCAGGAATACAGCTTTGCATTCCTGGCACTAATAGTATACTTTTACTTTTAATCCTTCAGTAGTTTAGTAAATAACCGTCCTGTCAAACAGTCCTGTTTGTAGACAATTGAAGAAAAAAGAAGAAACACCAACATCATCCCCCTGCCTCCCCCAAAATAAACATAACACAGCATACCAATCCCACCCGCCCCTGAAAAAATAAAAAAATTAAACATAAAAGGGTTATTCCAAATACCAAAAGCCAAGCATGTCTGCAGCTGCTTGAATAATGTCAAAATTGCGATTTTAACAAAATGGCAGCAATGGGTTGGGTTTTAAATGCCAGAGACTCCCACATTTTTATTGAAATCTTTAAATAGTACAGCAATTTTTAGAAATTCCTCTTAAAATATCTTAACCAAGTTTTCTAAATTTACTGTACTATATAGAGATTACTCTTAAAGAAACACTCTGGGCACCATAACAACTTCAAAGGAATAATGTTATGGTGCCATGAAGGCATGGTACCGGCTTACCTTTTTCATTAATAATTTAATCCCTAAAGTCTTGACTCCAGCTCAGTTAACTCTGCCCCCTTCTGCTTTTCTGAGAGGCCTGAAGCCTCAGACAGGGCACCGCTAATTGGCTAAGAGTGTTAGCTGATATTCTAAGCCAATCAGTAGCTCCTCACTCACAAAACAGATTGAGAAAAATATGCACATTGCAAATAGTGAGCTACAGATTGGCTCAGGACCTCAACTGACATTGGTATTTGTATTTCGAGCACTTCTACATAATACACAAGATTATTTTTATTTTATTTTTTTTACAATTTTAGGTTTAAACAATAATTTGTGGGTAAACTTGTGTGCAAAAGCGTATATATCTATATATATATATATATATATATACATATACATATATACACACACACACACACACACACACACACACATATACAAAAAAAAAAACCCAAACCAAAAAAATTAAATATACATACATATTTAAACTAAAGTAAAAAAAAATGTTTTCACAAAATGAGAGAATGATAGCAGGGAATAAAACCCACAAGAGTAAACACGACTCATTTGGATCTTCCTCATTAATTTAATGTCATCAGATGGTGGACCCTGTACTGTGTTTAGCTGACTAAGGCAAGAAGTTTATAATCACCTTTACAGGACAGTGTATACGTTAATCATTCAAGATGCTTCAGCATGTTTTTTAGGAGTGCTAGCATACTGGTATAAAGTGCACTATGCTTCCTCCAATTATTTTAACAATTATACAGAGAAAGTGAGGTACGAGGATACAAACCATGAAATGTCCCTTTAAACAGCTTCTAAGCATTATAGCTGTCTTACTAAACCAAATGAAATGTTTAAAGAAAAAATGCATTTGGTATGTGAATAAAACAGCATTATTTTTAAAGAGCATATAAATATATCTATACATTGTGCTAGCAGCTTTCCTAGGAAATGTATAGATTGGGAGAAACAGCTATTTAAAAATTAGTCATACTGTGATGGACTATACGAAGAAAAATAAATGCCCAAGGAAATGCTTTAAAATTGCCTTCAAGCAGATGCACTTGCAGGGCTGACACTAAGCAAGAGTCAAAATAAAACTCAGCAACAATAAGATGTGGAACTCCAAATTATGTGTGCACCTTAAAAAGGATACCTATCACGCGATGGTGATCTTACCATTGATTAATTCACATTCTGATTTTATCTATATATTGTCTAAGCCAAATTGCTAGCAAATTTATTGATTTCTCGTAAAATCACAGCAAAAAAAATAAATAAATAAATAAAAAGGCTCCCTCCAAGAAGATAGACTCTAAGCCCATGTCGGTCTACCTTGGTACATAGCCTATGGGCTATTCTCCCTGACTGCTTTATGCAACGTGCATGCAGCGTTCCGAGCTGGCTAATGTCAATGTACATGCACAGTGTGCCATTCATTAGCAGGCAGATGATGCTCTCAGCCAATGAATTGCGACTTGATAGCATTCAGACTTTTGCAGCTCTGTTGAAGACGGAAGGGATCCCATAACCTAGAACAAGCATAGGCAACATTCAGCACCCCAGATATTTTTGACTACACCTCCCATGGTGCTTTGCCAGCATTATGGATGTAAAAGAATTATGGGGGATGTAGTCCACTACATCTGGAGTGCCGAAGGTTGCCTATTCCTGACCTAGAATAACAGGAGCCTTAGAAGCAGAGAAGAACCCATGTAAGAGGGCAAACCATTAATAAACAGTTTGCCCCATTACCGGGGAAACAGACCAGGGTACTCCTGGCATCATATTCCGATACCCGGACAGACCTTAAAAAAAATTTAACATTGCTCCCTCTATTAGAAGCATTTAAAAAAAAAAAATGTATTGATTATTTCCTGTAGTTTTATTTGTTGAGATAATTAAAAAAATATTGCATCAAGCAAAGTCAAAGAGAAGCAAAAATTTGTGTGTGTGTGTGTATATATGTACACACACATAAAATAAAAAAAAACCAAATAAAAAAATTTTTTCCCCACCAGCCCTGCAAACTCTACTGCAAAGAGGCATTACATTGAACATTGCAAATCCAATGAAATCCAGAAAGACAATGCAGCAACAGGTGTCTTGTAGGCTGATGAAATAATAAGCAATCTGATCTTCGTAAATAAAAGTTACATTGTTTACAAGACTTAAAGAGACATTCTAGCTACCATAACTAATTCATCTCATTTAAGTGGTTATGGTGCCTGGAGCCCCTTTGATGCTCTACCACTACCATCGTATAACTTTTTTTCTTCCCGCAGTGATGTAAAGCGGCACTGCCACGGTCTACGGACTTTGCAGAATCTGGAGGGAGCGGCTTGCAAAGTTTTCCCTTGTAGGTGCCACCATCTTCACTCATTGGGTCATTAACCTTATAATTGCCATTTCAGCGCAGGAGCTGATTTTACTGCTGAATGGTCACCGCGAGATCCTCAATAGATAAAGCAGATTCCCTGGAGCCGGCACTGGTGAAGGCTGGGGTGATGGTGGTAGTTCCACCCAGTGTCTAGAACGGTCAGGTGTAGGAAATATACAGAGACACAGTAGTACCTACAACTCAGGTCTATATATCTCCGTGTTGGAATCTCAGTGAAATCCCAACATAGTCAATATAAGTATTTTATAAACATTATATCTTCATGACATGCTCAATTTTCAGGGTGGGGAGGATGACAGTGCCACTTTAACTCTGAATGAGGATCTCTGGATGCCTAATTGAGGCATCTCCACTTTAGTCATAATAATCCATGCCATCAATCAGCGGCTATGACAGGCTGACACTCCTCTTATGCAGTCAGTTTATCACTAGTGCCTATCTTTGCTCGTGATAAGGTGGAAGCATTAGCAGCAGCTAGAGGGGCTAGAATGCCAGTGGCTGAGGACCCTCATTCAGTGTTAAACCATTTAAAAACAGTTTAACACTGAGCAGTGGGACAGGTGCCAGGCGATTCTAGGCATCATAACCACTTTAATGAGTCAAATGGTTATTATGCCTAGAGTGTCCCTTTAAGCCTATGGCCAAGGTAATATTGCTATGTATTTATACACCTACTCCTACACATGAGATTAGACAGACAGATCTCTCTGATGGGCTTTATATCAAGTACACACAGCACACAAGTAAACTCACATATATTACATAATTTCTGAAATAAAGATGCAACCGAAGAGACAAAAAAAAAACCATTTCTCTGCCCCTACAGCAAGACATGACAAATTTGCTTGGAATCTAGGAGCCAGCTACAAAAATTAATAGCCAGGATTTTCAACATCAGAAATACAATTCTTAAAGGGACCCTATAGTCAACAGAACCATTACGGCTTAATGTAATTTGTTCTAAAGTCCATATCCTATCCCTGCACGCTTTTCAGTGTAAACACTGACATTTCAGTCAGAGGCCAGAATTTACATTACGGCCTGGTAACACCTCTAGTGACAGTCACTCATGCTACCTCTAGAAGTGCTTCCTGGGCAAGTGCTGCACAGTGTGCAGCAACTACATTAATGCTTCATATAGGGATGCATTGATTCAATGCATCTCTATGAGGAGAAGTTGATTGACGCAGCATGGCATTTTGTTGAGGCAGGGCCAACCGCAGTGTCACCAGCGCGGCGTGGGAAAAATAAAAGGTGGAGGGTGACAGGTCACCTAAACATATACACTCATTGGCAAAGACACACATTGATTTGATACACACACTCACTGGCAGACAGACACTGCAACACTCACAAATTATTACTCTTCTTTGGGAGGGCTGGAGTGGATCAGCTTTAACTGGGGTCCAGTGGGGCTGTTGGCACCTCCCTGCTCTGCTCCGCTCCCTACAGCGCAGTTTAGTGATGCCGTGCCGGACTGAAGTGAGCTCCTGGGATCACCAGAGAGTGTGTGAGGGAGCAGAGCATGGAGATTACAGCTCACTCGCTGCTGCACTCAATCTGCCGGCTGACTGCCTCAGCCCTCCGTGAGCCAACTGCCTGCCTCCAATTTCACTCTGCCGGTCACCTTGAAGGCTGAACTGGCTCACAAAAGCAACGCGCCAGGACAAAATTTCCTGTTCACGTGGAGACCGGGGATTTGTTGAGCCCTGCTATACAGCCCTGCTATACAGCAAGAAGACAAAACTAAAATCAAGGAAAATTAAAACACAAATAAACTACACTTGAGTGCTTGAAGGGTCCCTTTAAACTTCCTAAAATTGCAGAACTTGCACAGGCACCAATCAGGGGGCCTTTCATCCTGGTATTTATTTTTTTTACCCTTAATCCCATAGAGTGTGAAGGAGGGATTTATGGGAAATGCACTTTGTCACGCCAAGGGTGCATAATTCATTGTTGCTCAATAGAATATTGCCATTTAATGTAATTTGTGTCGTGCATATATGAATTGACCACTTGGTAGAGATCAGATGACAGAAGGGGTAATGTAAATGGCATAGGAATGTGAAAGGGGTCAGATGATATACCATATGGATTGATCCTTTGATTAATCAAAGGCTCTGCAAGGTGTGAGAAGTCCCACATAAGTGGCCTGGAAGTCTGGTTTAAATATGAATTAACTCTCTAATTTGCCATAAATCTAGATTCCCTCTTAGATTCTAAGAGCGATCTTAGGGGGTCGTTTGATATGTTAATGGCCATTAGCCTTGTTTTCCAGTATCATAGCCAAAAGAAACATTAATATTTACCCACAGATTAATAATTAAGCCTAATTTTTATTATATTTAGAATGGGACAAGCACAACCTTCTAATCATGTCCAAACATGATTTGCATAACTTAACCATAGGGGAAGAGATTGCAATGTCCGCTACATTGGGTCACAAGTAAGGAGTGTGGATTATCTATGGATCTGAAAAATGATAAATTCATAGATGCTATTATTATTTCTGTGGCAAGTACATAACAGGTGATAGAACCCAATGTTTCCATTTGGATTGATGTTGGTCTGGAACACAAGGGGGTGGTCACTTATAGTTCCTATAGGTACGCATTACCTACACCTCTGGGCAAGACTTGGTAATCCACAAGTTATATATCTAATGATACTGAAGTGTGTATTGGACTTGCTTGGGGGCCAGAAGTCTAAGGAGTCTAAGAGCCCAGATAACTGCTATCCCATGGTTCCCATGTTTTGTGGAATGCTTTAGTACCCCTCATCCTAGCGGTCAGGTTGTCCATCAGCCGAGTCTCTTTGATTCTGTTCACTACATTTGCAGTGTGAGGTAGTTCCTGCTTTAGCCATGTGTATGCTATAGCACATCGTGCTGCTAACGTGATTTTATGTAGTAACAGTTGTTCCTGCCGGGTCTACCTGTCGAGTGATCTATTCAGGAGGTATACCCATGGATCTAGTTCTGGTGCTATGGAGAATACCTGGGTCAACAGTGCTTTTATAGCCCTCCAGAATGACTGGAGGTGTGGGCACTCCTACCACATATGTAGGTATGTCCCTTTCTCCCCACAGCCCCTCCAGCACACGTCAGTTGTGGATTTGCACATGTGATATAGTTTGACTGGGGTTGTGCATAGTAACCATTATATGGTTAATTATTCTTAGTTTTAGCAATTGGCCTGTGTGGAGAGACCTCTTGACCTGACGATAGAGCAGTAGCTCAGATTCTCAGCAGAATAGACAGAGGAATGCCCATCCACAATTGTGTGAGTCAAGGTGCACAGGATTTGGACAGCAAAGATATAAGTACATCTCTTGTTCCAGAGGCAGGTTATAGCATCAGCCAGTTACTCTCCACACTATAACCTTTGCGGTGAGGTTAGTTTGCAGTGGTGGTAAAAGTGACAAATACTGTATTTGTACCCAACTAGGTTGCCAGTTCACATCAACAAAATATACTGATTTATTTGCCCTGATTTTCATTTCCCTTGTAAATTCAGGATGTTGCATTACTTGGTTACGTTAATCTTACGAACCGCATAATACCCTTCCACTCCATTCATCTTTATGCATTATGACTATATATCCCTCCAAAGTACATGGACTATTTTTGAAATACTTTTTTATCTAATAATAGCTTTCTACGAAATAATCAATGCAGATTTATATGACAGTAACTGTGTATGGTTTGTAATTTATCACTCCTTAAAGGAGCACTATAGGGTCAGAAACACAAACGTGTATTCCTGACCCTATAGGGTTAAAACCACCATCTAGCCACCCTGATCCCCTCATGCCTATCTAAATACAGTAAAATCTTATTTGTATTCAAGTATGGAGCTGCTTACTTTGTCCCGGTTTCCTTTTGACCCGCCCACTGACATAATCAGAAGTAGTAGCTTGATCCAATCACAATGCTTCCCCATAGAATTGGCTGAGACTGACAAGGAGGCAGATCAGGGGCAATGATTCTACTCACCAGAACAAATTCAATAAGCTGTAGTTGTTCTGGTTACTATAGTATCCATTTAACCTGGCACCACTCCCCACCTCCACAAAGAGTCAAAAGGTTCTGGTATGAGCCAAGCATGGTGGTGCAGGGCTTAGCCCAGGAAAGCTGATAGAAGCTCCTGAGTAGGTTGTGTTGTAAAGGTCAGAAGCAGCACCTGGCTGACCTGTTCTAAAACAGACTATTTACAATGGGAAAGCCCTATGGTACTCCAAGCACCATAACCACTCCAAATCCAAACATCTTGGAAAGACAGTTTGACACAAAGAAGGTCAAAAGAAACGCAACTACATGCACCAATAAAGCAATAAAGCCAACAAGAGATTATTAATATCATAAAGTAACCGATGAATACATTTTGAACATATATTTATATGTTCTGTTTGTAATTGACAATTTTGGGCTCATAGTCTATGGAGGACATATGTCCTCCAAACTTTTTTTTCCTGTATATTATTTGATTTAAAATCAAATGCTCATCATTAAGCTTGATACACAGAAATAATGACTAACATGGATGCTATTTGCAGGCTAGAAATACAATACAAATTATATGTGACCCATGTAAAATCAGAAGGATGATTGCTTCAGACATCAGTACAATGAAGTAGGCAAAACCTTAGTTTACTAAATTGGGTAACAGTAACATTCCCTGGATGTTGGGCAATAGTAACATCCCCAGGAAGTACTTGGAAACCAGAAAATAACTGAATGTACCCTTCCTGGTTAAATACTTGGCTATTGTAATTATAAATCGAATCAGAAAAAAAACAGTATTGCATTAACAGAAATTGACAGTATCTAATTAATAACTGAAGAGATATTGTTTTGTTTAATAGAAGAGGCCAGATATATAATTATTTGTATAAATTGTGCATTAGCATACTATAAGCTTTAACCTTTATCATGCATTGACCTTTATCATTCATCGTAAGAGAACCATTCCTATCAAGAGCTAGTGATTAAGGGCTTATTCACTAAACAAACAGGACTGATTCCCAAAACTGGAAATGGTAGAGAATTAAAATCTGGATTAAAGAAAACCTGGGGCTAAAATAGCTCATTGCGAGAAGAAAAAAAAATAAAAATCTCCAATTTGGCTTCGGTCACAGCTTGGTTATCTGAGCCTCTTTTTTTTGGGAATTTTGGTTTTAAATTCAATACTATTTAGACTTTAGAGAATAACCCTCCAAAATCTTAGTGAATACTAAACACAACTGCACGATTTAGACAACAAATGCGAATTTGGTAAAGACTCTCTGTGTCAGCCACAGCCTGGCCTTATTTATTTATTATTCACACAGTATTCAGAGTTTAATGAGAGGGCCCCTCTGGTGCCATGAGTGGTGATCACCCCTGTCAGTGAGTGGAATTCACCTTATACAATGCCTATAAGGTAATGACATTTTTGCTAACATAGGCTTTTTTTATTTTTAATGGTTCTTCAGACTCTACAGACAGCAGCTCTATACATTGCATTCTGGGAAATGTAGTCCTCAGGGCTCTTCCCCCTGCAACGGATCTGAGCACACTACATAGATAATGAACACATTTAACACTCAGTGTTCGCCAGCCACCCGGCACCCATATCCAGAGCCAGCCAGTCCACACAGGCTGAAACCCCGTGAAATCCCACGGCTGGGCCAAGCAGGCAGAACTACAAGACCAGCATGCCTTGCGAGGCGGCCATGTTTCCCACACAGCTGAGGCGCTGGGTAGTTCACCAACCGTCTCCCCGTGAGATTTCAACAGGTCACACGGCCAGACCGAACAACGGATTCAAAACCTGCCGCCGCCCGGCCCTAGCACTCTACAAAGGGGGAGGCCGCCAGCCGCGATAATGATCCCTGGCGTGAGAGTACAGCGTTACCATGGCGATTAGGAACTACATCTCCCGGCATTCATCGCGCGCGGAGGGCGCAGTGCGCATGCGCGGTGCCGTGCTGATGATGCACCAGATAGCCCATCGCCGAGCTCCCCCGCCCGCTCTCAGCCCTCGGTCCCCGTTGCTGGCTCTTACCTCGGGCCTTGCTGGTCGGGAACAGTTTCTGCGCTTTCTCCAGGAAGCGCAATGCCTTGTCGGCGTTCTGGCTCTTGAGGGCGAGCAGGGCAATGGCGATGCAGCGCTCCGCTTCGTCCCGGTTTGATTCCATTGCGGAATCACTGTTCACAGGAGCTAGTGGGCGGCGCTCTCCATACGCGTCACTGGCAACCTGTCGCCGTGTGATGATGTCACGTGATGTCGCCCTCGGGAGGGTGAGAGCGGGCCAATCAGCATTCGCCAAACCACTCCATGTACAAAGTGGGGGCCAATCACTAAACGGCGAATGGCAGCGCATTGAGAGCCAAAGGGCAGAATTAGGGAAAGCAATACATACACAGCTGGGCTGTTACTGGCAGAATGAGCAATGTGGGGGCTTTCAGGTCACCACAAATCTTAGTTTAATGAATAAACCCCCAAAGTTAGAAGGCAGTTGGCTAACATTGTAAAACGCTTCGGTATACGTTGGCACTATATTAATGCCAATAATAATAATACACTGGGAATTGTTGGGATTTTTACCTAAAACTTTAAATATATTAAAGCGGCACAGTCATGCTGAACTTACCTTTCCCCAATCTCTTCCTCTTCTCCCCCTCTCTCGGGATCTGTTATTCATTTCTTCCGGTCTGCTCTAGTTTCCTTTAAAACATTAGGGACTTTGTTCGGATCGGAATTTCATTCTAATGAATTAAACTCCGATCCTGTTTGTGCCGTGGCTTAGTAGATAGCTCCCTAATACCGTGGGAATTAGGGAGCTATCTACCAAAAGGCTGAAAGACCTAAATTGGTCTTTCAGGCAAATTTACTAATACTAAGTAAAGATTGCTTAGTATTAGTAAATTCTGCCCCTACTCGCTATACCGCCTGTGGCTGCTCACTGTTAAAAAACAAAACAAAAAAACCTAGTACCCCACCCCAGAGCAGCCGCTTTAATTCCAGATAATACGCTGGCCGGTGAATGACCCTGTAAATGGGTATAAACTAATTCCAAAATAGCCAAATTTGGAAATATATACAGTTAGTTCCCCTCCCTCATTTTAGAAATATAATGTAAAAATAAAATAAACAAAACGTGATTATCCCATCATGTTTCAGATAGGTACAAGCCTGGCTACAGAATTACCAGATCTTCTATTTTTCTCCACTCACACATCCCTTTTGCGTACTGATGCAAACTAGACTCAATGGCATACACTAAGCAATATGACATAATAGGTATAACAAACAGGGAGGGATGACACACATGAGTAGGCAGTTAAAGGCACACTATAGTCACCAGAACTACTACAGCTTAACATAGTAGTTCTGGTGTCTATAGCATGTCTCTGCAGGCCTTTTAATGTAAACACTGCCTTTTCAGAAAAAAAAGCAGTGTTTACATTGCTGCCTAGGTCTAGGAACACCTCTAGTGGCAGCCACCCTGATGGCCACTAGAGATGCTTCCTAGTCCGTTGCTGCACACTGTGCAGCACTGGCTTTCAGTGTCTCCACGCTCTGCATTTAGGCGCTGAATGTACCCCATATAGATGGAGAACATTCAGCACCTTAACTCACTGAGCTTGCTCACATTACTTGAAAGCAGCTTCTATTAAGTAGACTCTTTCAAGTAGGAGTTAGAAAACCAGGAGTTACTTGGAGTGGTTTGTATACTGTGGAGAGTGGTTTGTATTTTATTTTTGTTTAATCTTTAAAATTGGTAAGGTTTAAAAAAAAAAAAAAAAATTTTCTTTTTTTTTTTCTGTGTTCTGGTTTCCCCCCCTTTTTTGTGCTGCTGCTTGATTGATTGGGGGAGTGTTCATTAATTGCACCTGTGTGGGATTTGTATCCCCATAAAGGCACACCCCTAACTCACTGAGCTTGCTCACATTACTTGAAAGCAGCCTCTATTAAGTAGACTCTTTCAAGTAGGAGTTGGAAAACCAGGAGGTGAAACAAACAAGGGGTTTAAACTAACAAGGTAATTGTTTTCATTTTCTGTTTCTGGGGAAATGAGTGTTAGCAAGATTGCTGGTTTGACTCAATGCACATCTTGTTCCATGTATGGATGCCTGGATGTACCCGTCCAGGGTCCATACCTCTGTGATGGTTGTGTGCGAGTGGCTTCTCTGGAAGCTTAGATTGGAGATCTCGAGAAGCAAATCACAACTTTGAGGGAGATTGACAATCTTGAGAGGAGTCTGCTGCTCACTGAGCAGAGTTTAGTGGGGACAGGTAGTGGAGAGGGAGGAGATAAGACAGATGGGGAACAGGCATGTAGCTGGGTGACAGTGGGGCGAGGAAGCAGGGGGGGAGGGAAGAGGAAAGGGCTAGCTAGTCCTGATTTGGTGCAACCTAGCAGATTTGCCCGTTTGAGGGAAGATGTTGGGAGCATCAGCTCAGGAGTAGCTGTATTAGAGGAAGCTGTTACTTCTAACAGCCGAGCTAACAGCCCCCCTAGTACGGGTGGGGATCAAAATGTAAGGAAGGCAAGACAGGTTGTGGTGGTAGGGGACTCTATCATTAGGAGAGCAGATAGGGCAATCTGCTGCTCTGATCGGCTCAACCGGACAGTTTGCTGTCTCCCGGGTGCTCGGGTCCGACATGTTGCTGACAGAGTGGATGGATTATTGGGAGGGGCTGGGGATGACCCAGCGGTCATGGTCCATGTTGGTACCAATGACAAAGTAAGAGGAAGATGGAAGGTCCTAAAGAATGATTTCAGGAAATTATGTAGCAAACTTAAGAAAAGGACCTCCAAGGTGGTATTCTCTAAGATATTACCTGTGCCATGCGCTACAGTGGAAAGGCAGCGGGAGATTAGAGAGGTCAATGCGTGGCTTAAGTCTTGGTGCAGGAAGGAGGGTTTTGGGTTTTTAGAGCAATGGGCCGACTTTGCGATTGGGTACAACCTTTATAGTGGTGATGGATTGCACCTAAACGGGAGAGGGTCTGCAGAGCTGGGGGATAGGATGGCTAGAAGTTTGGAGGAGATTTTAAACTAGTAGTAGGGGGGGAGGGGTCATAGCAATCTACAAAAATGGACATAGGACAGAAAGGAGATGGGCTTTAGCACAGTATAAGGGGGGTGGATATGGGGGGAGGGGCAAGCTCAGAACAGAGAAGCTGTGTAATGTTGAAAATTCACAAAATATACAAGTGACACATAATATTAAATGTATGCTTACTAATGCAAGGAGCCTAAATAACAAAATGGGGGAACTAGAGGCATTAGCATACACTAAACAATGATATAATAGGCATAACTGAAACATGGTGGGATGAGACACATGACTGGGCAGCTAACTTAAATGGGTACATGTTATTTAGGAAGGATAGGAAAAACAAGAAGGGTGGTGGGGTATGTTTGTATGTCAACCATGATTTAAAGCCAAATGTTAAGCAAATGGAATGCGAGGAGGATAATGTGGAAGCTTTATGGGTAAATATCTGCTTGGGGGAAAAGAAGGGAAACCAACTATTGGTTGGGATATGTTATAAACCACCTAATGTAAATATTGACGAGGAACAACAGCTGTTTGAGCAAATTGAGAAAGCTGCAAATCTGGGTAACACTTTAATTATTGGAGATTCTAATTACCCGGATATAAATTGGGACAGAGAGACTAGTACCTCAGCAAAGGGAATTAGGTTTTTAAACTTGTTAAATGACACCTTCATGTCACAACTTGTACAAGCACCAACTAGAATGGACGCTTGTCTGGACCTGGTTTTAACAAACAACGTTGATCTTTTGACCAACATTCAAGTAGGTGAGCACTTGGGAAATAGTGATCACAATATAGTGTCCTTTGAAATAAACTCAAAAAAACAAAAGCACATGGGGAATACTAAAACATATAATTTTAAAAAGGCTAATTTCAATAAGTTAAGTGAAGCTTTTTAATATATATACTGGCATAAACTCTTTAGTGAAAAGAACACTGAGGATAAATGGATCATCTTCCAACAAATATTAAAAAGGTACATTTCTCATGTACCGTTGGGAAATAAATATAAAAGAAACAAATTAAAACCAATGTGGCTTAGTAGATAAGTAAAACAAGAGATTACAACTAAGAAAAGGGCATTTAAATCGGACAAATCAGATGCATCTTATAAAAGATATAAGGAAGCAAATAATGCGTGCAAAAAGGCAATTAGACTTGCTAAACTTCAAAATGAAATAATGATAGCTGAAGAGAGCAAAACCAACCCCAAAGCATTTTTTAAGTACATAAATTCTAAAACAAAACAAAATGAAAGTGTAGGTACACTAAAAACTGAAACGGGGGTGTTAGTTAATGAAGACCAGGAAAAGGCAGGAATTTTAAATAACTATTTCTCCTCCGTATATATTAAGGAAGAACCCATGGCAATAGTTGTGCAAATGATTGCTACTAAAAACTTGCAGAATAATTGTAATTGGTTAACTCAAGACAAGGTGCTGCAGCAACTAAAGAAAGTTAATATAAACAAAGCTCCAGGGCCTGGCGGTATCCATCCATGTGTACTTAAGGAACTAAGTGTAGAAATAAGTGAACCTCTGTTTTTAATCTTTCAAGATTCTTTTCTTTCAGGAAGTGTTCCTGGAGGATTGGAGGAAGGCAGATGTGGTTCCTATATTCAAAAAAGGGTTCAAAATCCTTGCCTGGAAATTATAGACCTGTGAGCTTAACTTCTGTGGCTGGTAAAATATTTGAAAGGATATTAAGGGATAATATTCAAGAATTCCTTGAGAAGAACATGGTTATCAGCAAAAATCAGCACGGTTTTATGAAGCACAGGTCATGTCAAACTAACTTGATTGCGTTCTACGAAGAAGTAAGTAGAAGTATAGATCAGGGTGTTGCTGTGGATGTGATCTATTTGGATTTTGCCATGGCATTTGATACAGTTCCACCCAATAGATTAGTGTTCAAACTCAAGGAAATCGGTCTAGATGAAAATGCTTGTTCTTGGGTAGAACATTGGCTTAAAAACAGAGTACAAAGAGTTGTCATTAATGGTACCTTTTCAAGCTGGACAGAGGTGGCAAGTGGTGTCCCTCAGGGGTCTGTTCTGGGACCCCTTCTATTTAACATGTTTATAAATGATCTTGAAGACCGCATTGAAAGTCATGTTTCAGTGTTTGCAGATGACACAAAACTTTGTAAAATAATACAATGTGAGCAAGATATTACTTTGCTGCAGAGGGATTTAGATAGACTGGGGGACTGAGCACTCAAATGGCAGATGAAATTTAATGTTGAAAAATGCAAAG